TTCTTCTTAATACCCTACAATAGAAGAAATGTGCAAATGCATTCTTACTTTTTGAGTTTGAAATAATGATTGATGAATGAATAATGGCATGAAATATTTTTACATTACATTGAATAAGTCAAGAGTGATAAAGGCAGGATTGAGATGTTCAGTTCTTGATAAGGACATTGAATTTGGAAAGAGATTGCTTACATGAAGAACGTAAGTGGAAGATATGATTGAAAGCTACACTAGCTTGATCTTAAAAGAGTAATGTAATTGGATCTTTGAAGAATCAAGGGTTCGAAGCCCAAGAAAAGAGTTTGAGAAACTTGAGTACCATAATTGAATAGGAGTTAATTAGCCAACATTTGCATAACATGCATTGAATTTCATATGCATTGCATAGCATATACTACATAAATTCAAGAAGCAGGAGTATTCCAAAATCCCACATAGAGAAAACAGATGTGAAGATATTTTCAAATTTGAGAAAAAACTTATCAGGTAAGTTTCTAATCCTTGAAATAGGATGTCTCTTGGTATCAGGGTTGGTTTATAAAATCTTTGGGCATAACCTCCTGAAATTCCTTCAAACACGATTTTTAAATCTTTTGGACATGATTGTTAAGGAGCAATTTATTTTTCAAAGTCGTTAAGCCTCTGATTAGAGGAGCTTTATTTATTTTCAAAGTTGTTGAGCCTCTGATTAGAGGAGTCATTTATTGTTCAAAGTTGTTGAGCCTCTAATTAGAGGAGCATTTATTTATATTTTTCAAAGTCATTGAGCCTCTGCTTAGAGGAATTTTGATCAAATTTTAAACAAAAAAAAAATAAATGTCGAGTTGAGTCTTGATTGGGTGTCTACGTCTTTGCGTAATTTTTGTTTCACAGAAAATGTGCAAAGAGGGATAGCTGTAGACACCCAATTTGGTCTAGGCCCGGATCAATTGGGCCTGGTCCAAATGGGTAAGCCTTTTTTTTTATTTTGTATTTTATATTTTTATTTTATTATTGTTATTATTTTTTTATTATTTTTATCTTATGTATTTATTATTTGTTTATTTATTATTACTATTTTTTAATATATATATCCTTATTATTATAATTACTATTTTTTTCTTTTCTTTTTCTTTCTTTTCTGTTAATATTTATATATATATTTATCTAATTATATATTATAATTTATCTAGTATTTATTTTTAGTTATCTGTTAATATTATTATTTATCTGATTATTTTTTTTTAAAATTATCTATTAACATTTTTTATTTTTTATTTTTTTTGGTTGAAATTTGGAGAATCCTGCCGTGAATGGGGATTCAATCAGAGTCCATATTGGATGCAATGATTGAATCCTAATCCAATGAGGAGTTAGGATTGATCAAAAACTTTTTTGATTAATCCCTATAAATAGACTCACGGATCAAAGGGAAAACACAGAGAAAAAGAGTTACTGGCTGAGAGAAAAGACAGACACAGAGAAGATTTAAAGGCTAAAAAGGTTTTGGTGCTTTTAGAACAGCTCTAGGAATCAGTAGGAATTTTCGAAGAATTTTTACGAATTTTTTTTTTGGAAATTTTTGGAAAATTTTCAGATTTGGTTGAATTTTTTAACGAATGTTGAATTTTTCGACGACTATTCCGGCCAAGTTTGAAGTTTTCGACCAACTTCCCAGTTTTCGACAGTCCTTTCCAGAAACCGATCAGTTTTTCGATGAACTTTCGACGAAAAACCCAAATTTCGACTAAAATTTTCAAAATCCAACGGACATTCAACCGAAGTTCTTCAAGTTTTTAGAGAAGAGAGAGAAGAGAAAGGAAAAGAGAGAGAGAGAGAAAAAGAGAGTTCTGCTGAAGAAACGAAGAAATCAGCCTTATATACCCTTCCAAAACGACGTCGTTTCTGCATTAAGTAACCCAAAGGAACCGCGCGTTTTACCAAGATCCGATCCGACCCGAGCATCGATCCGTTTTCGAACCGCGTGCGACCCACGTCTCAAGTCGTTAGCCGAGTCGAGCCGACACCCCTGAGCCGCGTCTCCGAGCCATTTTTTCTTCCTCAAGCCGAGCCGAGCCAAGCCGTTCCCAGGTTTTTTTTTCATTTATTTATTTATTTTATTATTATTATATCAGAATTGTTTAATATTTTTTTTATTTATTTTTATTTATTTTCATTTTTATTTTATTTATTTTACTTTATTATTTTATTTTCTTTAAATAAAATTAAAAAAATTTATTTTAGAGGAAAAGTTAAAAGTATCAATTTTTCTTAAAAATAAATTTTCAAGAAAAAAAAAAGGTTTTGAAGAAAAGTTGAAAGTATTAATTTTTCCTCAAATTAAAAATTTTCAAAAAATATTTTTGGAGAAAAGTTGAAAATATTAATTTTCCTTAAAAATAAATTTTCAAAAAAAAAAGATTTTGAGGAAAAGTTAAAAGTATCAATTTTTTTCGAAATTAAAGTTTTCAAAAAATATTTTTGGAGAAAAGTTAAAAGTATCAATTTTCCTTAAAGATAAATTTTCAAAGGGATTTTTGAAGAAAAGTTGAAAGCATCAATTTTCCTTGAAATTAAAGTTTTCAAAAACAAAAATATTTTTGAAAAAAAATTGAAAGTATCAATTTTTCTTGCACAAAAACAATCATTTTTTTCTTCTTTTTTATTTTTTTAATGTTAAATAATCCGATGATGGAGCCTCTGCAAGTGAAATAGTAGTTTTCTTACATACTCTTGAGGTGAGGGGATTTTTTTAATTTTCTGCTAAAAGTATTAGAGTAAATTGAGAATAATTTTGAATAATTAATTACTTGGTAAATTTTTAAGACTTATTAGATAACACAAAATTATGTTGGTACCATCTTTTGACGGGCGTTGTGAGGGTGCTATAATCTTCCTCACACGTAACCGAACTCCCGAACCCTATTCTGGTTAGTAGACCCGAACCTATTTTTTTTAGGGATCCTTAAACTTAGGTGTTTCCTGAAAGGATAAATTCCTTAGGTGATCAATCGCACCTAGATAAAAAAGATTGGTGACGACTCCTTAAGTCCATATCTAGCGATAGATCCTCGGATCTAGACGTTATAACAATAATATTTTATTATTTGTATTGCATGCATATTATCATATTTTTGAAAAATAAATACGAGTCTCCAATGGTGGGATTCTAAGGTAATTCAAGTAGCAATACTTAAGAAATCCCTAACTAAGAAAAATTCTTTCAATATTACTAACTAGACCTGTTCATGGGTAAGGTCAAGCCTAGCCTGGCATGATATTCTAACATTTTAAGCAAGCCTAAGCCTAGCTTGACTTGATTTTTTTGACCTCATTTTTTGTCCAAGCATATTTTTACATGTAACAATAAAGTCTAAACCTACCAAAAAAACTGGTATTTGAAATTAGGAAAAAGAGTTTTTCTTTTGTGAATTATTAATTTAATTAATTTAAATAATTTTAATTGAATTTATGAGTCATTTGAGCTTGGATTTAATTTAATTTCGTTGAATCCAATTTAAAATTTGATCATCATTTTGTATAAAAAAATGAATTTTATCATATTATAAGTAATAAAGAAAATAAGACTTGTTTATTATAAAAAATACAAGAAATGAGCTTTGTCTTATTATGATAAAAAATAATTTTTAATTTTTGGATTGGGTTGGGTTAGGCCTGGTTCTTAAATGGTGAAACCCAAACTTTGACCTTATTTTTTTATTAGGTCCCATTTATTTGTCCTGACCCATTTAACAAGTTTAATATGCATGTTCAAGCCCTTTAAAATTTCGAACAGACTTTCGGGTTCGAGTGTGCCACCCAGCCTATGAATAGATCTATTACCAACATACTAGAATATTTTAAGAGTATTTCCAATAATAAGGTTTTAATTCATTTTTTTTTGAATAAAATAGAATAATTAAGAAAAATCAAAATTATTACAAATAAAAAAGTCAAAAAAATTATTTTTAAATACCAAAGATAAGATCACTTTTATCAATATTAAAGGATAACATATTATTAATTTGTACTATTTTTAAAATGAGCATTGTGGCAGTGTTAATATTTTTTCACGCGTAATCATACTTTTGAGCTCAAATTGGTTTCACAAACCAAAAAATTATTTTTTTAATAAATTTTAATTAATTTTAAAATTTTATTAAAAAAAATAAATTCTAATAGGTGGTTAATCATACTTAACCAAAAAATATTGATAGCAACTCTTTATATTTTAAAATTTGTTTAGCGGTCCCTAAAACTTTTACTATATTTGACAGATTTAATAAGTTTTGTGTTGCAGGAATTAAACATCAACTTACACTCCTCAACAAAATGAAGTCAATGAAAAGAATAATAAAACAATTATGGAGATGGATAGATGCATGCTGTTTAAGAAGAAACTTCCTAAAAAGTTATGGGTAGAAGTAGTTAATACCTTGGTTTACTTGCTTAATAAGTTGCTTATAAAAGCCTTAAAGGGGAAAACACCATTTGAAGCTTGGTATGGCTACAAACCATCCATTTAGCACCTTAAAATCTTTGGAAGCATTTGTTATGTGTTTGTTCCTAAAATCAAAAGGAACAAGCTTGATTACAAAGCTAAAATTTGTATTTTTCTGAACTATAGCAACATCACTAAATGCTATAAAACTTACATCCCACTTACAGACAAGATGACTGTAAGTAGGAACGTGAGAGTTAATGAGCAAGCTACTTGAAATTGAAAAAAGTCAAAGGAAGAATCAGTTAAGCAAACTGTAGTAGACATGATAAACTTCCAAGAACAAAAAATGTTATTTGTGGCATGAAGAGAATGTTGATCATGAACCAATAAGAGGTACCAAACACATACTGATATGTAGGAACATGAGATTCAATGAGTAAGCTACTTGAAATTGGGAAAAGTCAAAGGAAGAATCAATCAAGCAAACTGTAGTAAACATGATAGGCTTCCAATAACAAAAAGGTTATTTGTGGCATGAAGAGAATGTTGATCATGAACCAGTAAGATGTACCAGACCATTTACTAATATTTATGAAAGGTTAAACATGGTCATTCTTAAACTAGCTAGCTTTGAAGAAGCTATCAAATTAAAAGAATGGATAAATGCAACGGAGGAAAAGATTCAAATGATTGAGAAAAATCATACTTGGTTGCTAGTGGATAGACCAAGCAATAAGAATATCATTAAACCGAGATGGATCTACAAGACCAAGATGAATATAGATGACACTATCAATAAACTTAAGGCCAGACTTGTTGCAAAAGGCTACCCTCAATTGCCTGGTGTTGATTTTTCAGAAACCTTTGCTCCAGTTGCAAAGTTGGATACTATAAGGCTGCTATTAGCCTTAGCAGCTTAGAAAAGTTAGAAAATATGCCAACTTGATGTCAAATATGCATTTTTTTAATGGTTTTCTTGAAAAGGAAATTTTTATTGAGCAACCAAAAGGATTTGTTGCTAAAGGAAATGAAGACAAAGTCTATCTACATAAAAAACCTTTGTATGGACTGAAACAAGCTCTAAGAGCTTGGAATTCCAAAATTTATGAGCATTTGCTAAAGTTGGGATTCAAAAAAAGTCTTAGTGAAGCAACACTATACACTAAAATTTTTGTCAAAAATGATTTGCTGGTTGTCTCATTATATGTTGATAATTTTTGTGATAGGAAACAATTTTGAACTTGTGCAGCAGTTTAAAGAACAAATAATGAAGGTTTTTGAGATGACACACTTGGGAGAAATGTCATATTTTCTTGGCATAGAAATTCTGCAAAATCAGCAAGGAATTTTTATTTCTCAACAAAAGTATGTCAAGGAAGTGTTGAAGAAATTTGACATGGAGAATTGCAAACCAATTTGCACTCCTCTGGTTCAAAATGAAAAGCTTAACAAAGATGACAAGTCAAACAAGGCCGATGAAAGAAATTACATTAGCCTAATTGGTTGTTTGATTTACCTGACAGCAGCAAGACCGAACATAATGTTTGCTGTCAATCTTCTTTCAAGATTTATGCATTGTCCTAGTGAGAATCATGTCAGGGCAATCAAGAAAGTGCTAAGATATATTAGAGGTTCACTTGATTTTGGGATTATGTTTCAAAAATTTGAAAATTTAAAGCTGCTAGGCTACACTGACAATGATTGGGCAGTGTCTTGTGATGATATGAAGAGCACTTCATGGTACTTATTCACCGTTGGCTCAGATGTTTTTACATGGAACTCAAAGAAGCAAGAGATGGTGGCTCAATCAATAGCAAAAGCTGAGTACATTGCTGTAGCTGCCAGAGTGAATCAAGCAATTTGGCTAAAGAAAGTATTAGCAGATTTGAATCTGACTCAGTCTGATGTAACTGAGATTAAATGTGCTAAACAATTAGCAGTGGCTATGGCCAAACATCCTGTGTTCCATAAAAGGACTAAGCACATCAAAATAAAGTTTCACTTTGTTAGAAAAGCTGAAGCTGAGAATGAAGTGAGACTAGTTCATTGCAAGTCAGAAGACCAAATTGCAGATATTCTAACCAAGGCCTTATCAAAGGCAAGGTTTGAAACATTAAGAAAAATTCTTGATGTTTCCAACATAAATGCCAAGGAAAAGTGTTAACAGTTGAAGTAACTAAGTATGGCATTTCTATTGCAATTTGTGTAACTTGTTTTCCATTTTTGTAACTATTTTATCAGTTTAGGTAGTATGATGGTTACATATGTGGCTATCCAGATTATTAGACAGACAAGTTTTCTATTAGTTGAATAAACTTTTGTATTTTGAAGTTTATAAATAAATGAAATGAGCTCATGCTCTATATGAGGCAATTTACTGCAATACTAGATTAGTTTCTTCATATTTGTTCCCTTTTTTCTTCCTCTGCTCTATATCCTTCAATCTAAATCATGGAACAAATAAAGATGTAAAGCTAAAGCCTATAATCAACCACAAGCTTGAAATTGTCAACTCTTTCACTTCAAGCTTCATCAATTCATAGTCTATTTGAAAAGGTTAGACACTGTAACAACCTGCATAAGTCAAATAACAGAGCATCGTCCTTAATGCTTAATAAGATAAACTCTGGATAAAGACATGGCATGCAACCATTGCCATAGAAGGAAAAGTGCAGGCAGAAAAAAAGTATCTCAAAATCCACTTTAGCCAAGGCAGAAAGAAAATTGAGTATATAGGTTGCATGATGATTATACAATATCATCGCTCATCCCTATAAGTGAGGCAGCAAAAGGTGTCTTTTATATTTCAAATCTAGCCACCCACAGGATGATACTCATATACCCCAAAAGATCATTTTCGCTGAATCCGAAATCCTGAAGTATGTCTCTCTACATGCCTTGACATTCATCTATAGTGTTGCTATGAAAAATCTACAGATGAACTGAAAAGCTTGCCATCTTTTTCTAGCTCACAAAATGATATTCCTTACTTAGACAACCTACTCTGCGAAGGAGCGTTCTTTGGCAGATTCTACCACCAGCGGCTCTAACTTCTCAGCTTTACCATTTCCTTTAGGTATAATGAGTCCATACCCTCCAGCTTTCCTTTTGTATAAAATATTAATCTCACCTGAGCAGACACAGAAGATACTAATTTTTATTAGCACATAAAACTAATACTGCAGAAATAAATAGGGCACTTAAAAATTCATACCAGTTTCTTCATTGCGAAAACCATAGAAGTCATGATCAACATTTTCAAGCTGCTCAATTGCTTCAGAGACAGTCAGAGGAGGCATCTCAAAATATTTTGTACGAATGATCTGAATCAATCATAATGCAGTAGTGTCAATGGATGAAAAAAAAAAGAACAAGAAAACAAGTGCCAACATCAATTGAGAAAGCATCACCATTTAGAACAGGATCTATTTGTTTGAACATCTTTCTTGATGCAAATGAAAGCAGGAAAACACAGACAAAAATCCTTCAGAATTTCTAATAACAAGATCATCCTATCATGTTACTACGGCACCTTTTATAATAACAAGAACATCCTAACATGCTACCATGGCACCTTTTAGAAACTGTCTAAAGAGATCAAAATAGACAATAATGCTGCATATTTGTTCCCATTATTCTTCTTTTTCCTCTATCCAAGATGGGAATACAGATTGCATGCCCCCTTTGGAAACAAAGCCCACTCTGGAAAATATCATGTCGTGCAGCCAAGCACATAATGAAAACATGAAATATATCTGCAATAAAACTAATTCTAGTAACAATTCAATAGATTAAAAATTGATGAAGCAAACCTCAACTATAAAAGCATCATCCTCCTGCTCGGGAACTGCCTCTACATCATCATCATCATCATCATCCACGACTACTGCTACCGGCTCTCTAACTTTCGACCTATTGAAGCCCTTCATGTGGCGGCCATGGTCTGATTCTTTCTCTTTAATCTTCCTTAACTTTCTTTGTAGAATTGAGGACACCAAATCTATACTTCCGTAGACAGTCTCTGCATCTTCCTCTGCACGAACCACTCCATGCCTCTTTGTAAACAAAGTCACCTTCAAACCAAAACCCATCAGAAAAAAACGTTAAGACAAATGTCTAAATGCAAACTTTGTCTCAAGAAACAAAAAATCTCGAATTTAGGAAGCACCTCACATCTTCGAATCCTCGGGCCTTTCCCAAATTCTCCACCTCGAGCAGACAACCTGACATCAACTTCCCTCACAAGATGGCTATGCTTCTGAACTGCTTTTCCAACCTTCTCCTCAACATGCTGCTTAACTGTATCTGTTAACTGAATCCCATAAAAAAAAAACAACAAAAAGAATGGATGTTAAACAAAGAATGGTTCAGTATAGTTTGACTGTTGTCAGAGTATAAAGAAGGAAGGAAAGTAAAAGGTAGATCAAAGTCTAAGAGTTTGCTATTTGAAACCCAACAAACAAACTCTTCTCTAATCTTTCCCTCTGTTTAACTCAACAATTACAAGGCAACTTTGCTGTGGGTATTGCAAAAATCATTAAATTCAACAAGAGATGATATCACAACCAAAAGCAAATTTGGTATGGGCATTATAAAATCACCAAATCAACAGAAAGATGTACAATAAGCAAAAGCAAATATAAGCCAAACTGAATGCCCCATTACGATGAAGTTGGTTTCTTTTAAAGATTCAAGTAAAAAATCAATGGCTTCCAATAGTAAAAATGCATCACCAATAAAGCAAATAAGGGTCACAAATTAATGAAAACTATTTTGAGTAAGAAAGCATCGATCCTGATAACTTCTCTAAATGGTCCCATAATTTATATTTTTAAATAGAGTAAATGATAAGAAATAAATTACCTCAAGATTTTTGCCTTGGATGATTAATTTGACAGAAGACAGAGGACCGTCCCATGACATTCGAACCGTTAATGAACTGATCCTGCTTTTTCTTGGTTCCGTCTCAATGTACTTGAAACTGTTCCCAATTGGGTTCAAGAAACTGGATTTGTAACAAGATAATGAAGGGAGTCGAGGTTTTGTGGAAATGAACAGAGAGACCCATGAAGTTGAAGACGAGGGACATGAAGATGATGAGGCTGAGACTGATATTGGATGGTGAAAACTTGTTTGCGATGAAGCTAACAGAGTCGTAGCCATTTCGTTAACGAGAATAGTGTTTGGACAGACGGATACCGGAAGAAAATACTGGAAAAACGAGTTTCGGTAGAAGAGAAAAAAAAAAAAAGATTTTATGGCTTGTGGATAAGAACACATGAAATGGCAGCGCTGGAGGGATGTCGTTGGTCACCCCTAGGCCCTAGGCGATCAGTCAATTTGCCTACAGTGTTTGGACAAAAAATCAAGATACACGTGGCAGGGCTAAGGTAATTGGGACCCATTTATTTAATTTGATGTGGCTTCTTGTCTGATGATCCCTCAGTTCTTAGTTACCAAAGTAGCAGCGGAATGGAGGATTATCTCTTTTGTATTTTTGTTTGGCAACCTTGCTATCTCCGATCTTGTCTAGGACTATAAATTATACTGCCCCTTTGAGGATTAAGATTCACATCAATGGCTAATTCCATACTACCATTACAATAATAAATAAATAAATGAGGGAAACAAAAGCATAGCTAAAGAATCTTAATAATCGATTATGCTTGGTTCAATGATGATGGGCTTTTCCAGCTAAATTGTCCTTTAGACCACCATGAGGGTGTCAAAGGATCTTTGGCCTTTGCACTCCAATGCTGAGAAAGCACAGAAGAGAGTAGGAGACTGAGCCTGAAAACTTTAGTGGGATCGCTCATACTTACAGAGGATAGATTTATTTGTAAAATTGTATTGGTGGGTTCCAACTAGCTTTGTAATGGATATCACATTGGTGAGACGATTGTTGGTCTTCCTTGAAATGGTTTTATTGTTCTTGAAAATTCTTAAATTGAGAGTAGATCAAGAAGAGTGTGACATGATCATTGTGTTGGATAAAACTTACAGGTATGCCTTCAACTTTGATAAGACTTGTGAACAAAAGCTTCCTTTAAGACTTGTCTCCAAAAATACATTGCTAACAACATCGTCCAACCTCTTCTTGATAAGAATCTACGATGGTTGTTTATTATGTTGTATTTATCTTATATTGGTAGATTAATAAAGTTATTATATATCAAATTATATTAATTAATGTCAATTAACAAATAATGGTTGAGGTACAATGTTGTATTTTCTTAAATTAATAATATGATATTCGTTAAATGTGATTTCGATATAATTCTGTATTTAAATAATAATGAGATAAATCAATTTTGATTAACGGGTTAAAAAAGTCATTGCTCTTATTTCATATATATATATAAGATTAGCTCATTAGCTTAATTTTATAATTTTTGATGTAGGATGATAGCAACAACTTTGTGGACGTTGGTTTAGCAAAATTGAACTCTCACATGTATTCAAGTTAATTTTAGTTTTTATTAATTTTATGTTAATGACTCAACAAAATTTCAGCTAATTTCAACATATGAGACCTAATTGTTTACTAAACTAAGTAAAATGACACCCAATTGAACCCAAATCAAGATAGTTTCTACATTGCATGACATCAATAAAATCTTGCATTCTCTTACTACTCACATTTGCTTCACCTTACTTCTCATCTTATGAAAAGATTTTATTAAAATCTCTGGTCAATACCCAAGGAAGATTATTCAATTCATTGAAATGCTTTACGTAAATTTAAAAAAAAAAAAAATCTCTTTCTATTGTAATTGTACTTGCATAAATCATAATCACTATCCACTTGAATCTTTGTTTATTATCAACCAACGAAGGGTTGGCTCAGATCACAAAAAGAATTATTTCTTTTTTTCTTTTTTTATACCTGAGTTTGAATTCATTAAAAAATTATGAAAGATAATTTTTCATAAATTTACTAAAATCAATATATATAAATCTTGTTTTAATCTATTTGAAGAGGAAATGTACTGAGCAAAGTAAAAAAAGAAAAAGCATTAGTTGTTAAATAAAAAAAATAAGCTTTTTACTTGCCAGGATTTATGTTTTAACCCAATAAAGAATTAAATGAAATATGATTTGTATTTGGAGTAAAAATGAAATGGTGAAAAAAAAAAAAAGATTGGCTCTTGGGGATGGGGTTGATTATTATGTAATCTTCGGAAGTGGGTTTTAAAAGGTCACTCCAGTCCCATTTTTATCCTTATTGGACATCAAATCGTTTGTCATCGTTCACCAATTGACAAAATCACTTTATACTGTTCATTGGTGTTTCGTAAACAATCAACCAGTCATTTTTAAGTTGTCAACTAACATTTTGTGGACAACCTTAAATTACCATTAGTTGAAGATTCTCACAACGCCCATAGACTCGACGATCTTCTTTGTTGTTGGCGGGCCCCATCAATTGCCATTGATCATTGCTCATTATCATCCCACTTGTTGTGCGTCAATTTACCACTGCTATACTCATCTTTTAAAGTTGTGATAAGTTAGCGCCTAGTATTAAGAAACGCTTGCAAGAAAACTCAAATTGTTTAGATTAACACGCAATTGATTATAACCATTGGCATATTTGGTATTTATCAGTTTTTTCGATTGATGAATTGAAAGATCATTAGTGGTGTAAGATTAATGATTGTTTTACACTACTAATGGTTTTAAATTTTTTATAATATTTTTTATTTTAAAAATTTTAATAATATTATCTCATCGTAATAATTAATATTTAATAATACGTGCATTGCAAGAAATTAATATTATATCTCCGAGAAATTAAGCGGCAGAGGAAAAAGCTAAAATGACAAGAATTAAGGTTTTAAATTTTGATACATAGAAAAAGATAAGAGTAAAAATTGAAGTAAGATAATTATAAATAAAAATTTAAATGATGATATGATTGAAGTTAAAAGAAAGAGAGATAAAATTTTATATATTAAAATTATATTAGAAGAAGAAACTTCTAATGTTATTAGTACTTACACCTTACAAATAGGTTTAGAATAAATGAGTAAGTAAAAATTTTGAAAAAATTCAAATAAAGTAGTGTGAGTCATATCAAACAAAGAAAAGTTGTTTATTAGAGAAGATATGAATGGTCATGTAAATAAGGATTGTAATGACTTTGAGAAGGTGCATGAAAAATATGGCTTTAGAGAAAAAAAAATCAGAGATAATATTCTAGAGTTTACTATTTCATTGGACTTAACAATATTAAATACGTGTTTAGAAAAAAAATACATTTGGTGACTTTTAGGAATTAGTCAAATGCTAGTCAAATTAATTTTTTTTTATGAGAAAAAAAGATGGATGTAACTATAAGGATTGTAAGGTTATACCAACCAAGAATGTGACAATACAACATAAACTACTAGTTCTAAATATCTTTCACATATGGGGGTCAAAGAAAATATGTCAGAGTTATGAATCATGTATTAAATTGTGAAACTTGAATAGGGTCAAAATTTTAGCTTTTAGGGAAAGATTGGTAAAAAAAGTTGATTGAAAATTTGATGAAAATGTAGAAGTAATGTGAAAAAAAAATTCTACTAGAATTCAAAATATTGCTAAAGGGACTTTTGGCGAATATAGAGGTCAAGCACCATTAGGAAAGGAATCTTGGTGGTAGAATAAGGGTGTGAAAATGAAAATTAAAGCTAAGAGAGAGTGTTATAAGAATTTAATGAGTAATTATGGACTGAAGCAAGTTATTTGAAGTATAAGACAACAAAAAAAGAAGAAAAAAATGTTATTTAGGATTTAAATACTAGAATCCATAAGTAATTATATAGAAAACTAGAGACAAAAGATTAAAAAAATAGTTGTTCAAAATTAAGAAGATAAAGAATAAAAAGAGTAGAGATCTTAATAATGTAAGATACATCAAAGGTGGTGACGAAAAAGTCTTAGTGAAGGATGAGGAGATTAAGAAGTGATAGAGATATTATTTTGATAATCTCTTTAATGGTAATTTTGAGTATAATATAAGTGAGTTTAACATACATTTTAAAGATATAACTCTTGTGTTCAAATGTAATATTAAAATGTATGAGGTTAAAGAGGCTTTAAGAAGGATAAAATCAAAGAAAGTTATAAGACTAGATGGAATCCTGATTGAGATATAAAAATATTTGGGTGAAATAGGAATAAGATGGTTTATGGATCTTTTAATAAAATTTGACATATTTAAAAGATGTTAGAAGAATGAAAGAAAAGTATGCTAGTGCCTTTGTATAAAAATAAGTGTGATCTATAAAATTATTTTAACTATCGAGGAATAAAACTTATGGGTTATATTATGAAATTTTGAGAGAGAGTAATTGAATAGAGATTGTGACATTAGGTCACTATTTTCAAAAACCAATTTAGGTTTATACTAGGATACTCCATAGTAGAGGCAATTCACTTATTAAGGTTTTTGTTGGAAATTTTCGGGTGAGAAAAAAATATTTACATATGTTATTTATCGACTTAGAAAAAGCATATGACAAAGTTCTTCAATATATGCTTTGGTGGGCCTTAATTTAGAAATGAGTTCTTTTAAAGTACATTAATATAGTTAAAGATATGTATGAAGGAATTGTAACCAATGTGAGGATGTTTGAGGGCTTAATTGATAGCTTTCCCGTTACCTTAGGATTGCATCAAAGCTTAGCACTAAGTCTACTTCTTTTTACATTAGTTATGGACAAACCCACTGGGCATAACTAAATAAGTTGTCATGGTGTATGTTATTTACATATGATATAGTTTTAGTTGCTAAAACTAATGATAATCTTAATGCGAAATTAAAATTATGAAAGTATACACCGAAGTCTCAAGGCTTTATATTGTGTAGATCTAAAATTGAATATATGGAATATAAGTTTAGTAATTATAGAAAAATAAGTACTAATATGATTAAGTTGGATAATGAAGTAATATCAAAGAGTAGTCATTTTCGATATTTGAGATAATTATTTAGAACAATTCTAAGATAGAAAGGGATATAAATCATAAGATTTAAGTAGAATAGATGAGATGACAAAGTGCATTAGATGTGTTATATGATCGCACCATGCCTTTAAAGTTAAAGGTGAAATTATATAAAACAAATATAAGACTCGCATTGTTATATGAGACTAAGTGTTAGAGCATTAAGAAACAACATGAAAAGAAAATAAGTGTAGTTGAGATGAGTATACTTAGATAGATGTATGGTAAGATTAGAAAAGATTAAATAAAAAATGAAAAGATTCGAGAAAAATTAGAAATAGTTCGAATTGAAGAAAAGACAAGAGGAGACCGTTTGAAATTGTTTAGACATGTAAAACGTAAATCTATCTGTGCACTAAATAAGAAAAATAAACTTTTGGATTTGGGAGAAACCAAAACTTTTAAAGATAAACTATAAAAGACATGAATGCAAGTAATAAAAAATATATAAAAATTAAGGAAATAGATAAAAAGTTATTTTTTATAGAAATAAGTGATGGAAGAAAATTCAAAATTATGACTTCATATGATTCTTTTTTTTTACTTTTCATACAACTGATTTTAAAATTATAAAATATAAAACTTAATTTGTTATTATTGTTATATACTCGTTACAAGCAACTCAAATATAAAATTTGATCATATTCTTGTAATATAATAATATAGCCCACGTGATTATTTAATTAAGCAAGATATATATTAAATATCTAATTATTATTTGAGTGACATTATCTTAGATAATCCTTTCTAGTTAAGCTATTATAAATATAGTGGACGGTGCATTAATTCATTAATTTATTTAGATGAACTTTTCTTAACAATAAGAACTAAATCATGAAAGTTATCTAGATTTGAGTTCTTAGTCTAATCTATAAATATTTCTTGTAAAATCATCTCATAGTAATTACTTAGGATAAAACTATGAGTTACAAACCAAAAATGTATTTTTGTATGCTCTTGAAGAAATTAAAAGTACTTGAATAACTATATTTGGAGGTAGATTAATTTCTATTTATTTTTATATTTTATATATGTATATGATGAGATTTGAACATATTAAATTTATGTGAAGAAGGAAGTTATGTGGCTAATTATTTGAAGAATTAGAAAAAAAAAATCTAAAAGATAATAAAACTACTAGTTCTCTTCCACAAAAACTTTGGTACACATATAAAAATGGGTGCGAAATGGAATTTGCATCCTCACATTCAGTGGTGAAAATCTTCCCTTTGTTTCCTCGGACTTCTCTCACCCTCTACAAACATAAAAATATCTTTAAAATGGATTGGACATCAAAAGAATGTGAATATATGTGATTTTATTTCTTGAAAATATCGTCTTCAAAGTCTTTATCACACCCGCAGCTATTGTACTTGATTACCAAGCACATTGCACAAGAGGCCACGTAGACAATTAGATGGGCATCCATGTCATTTCAAAGTGACAAAAATAATTGGGACAAGATGCAAGAAGGAAAGGCCAGCCGCATGCCACTTGCATTCAATAGGAAAGCGGGTGGCGTAGACCGCCCATAGACAGAGCGCTTAGAGAAAATATTAAGAGAGATGAAAGAAAAAGAGCATTGACAACTTCAAAACCACAAAAACGAAGCCTTCACCTCGGATGCCCCACGTGTCGGTTTCCTGTCCAGGAAATCCACTGTCTCCTCAAAGCACTAACGAAAATATCTTTTAATTGGGTCCCGCACATAAAATATCCCAAACTCAAGAAGGCCGAAGCCGACGGCCTTGTTGACCCTTAGGTTAATTTCTCTTTCTTTATTTAATTATTTTTTATTTTTGGCAAACATTAAACGACAGCCCCAAAATCCAATGACTCTGAGCATTCAGATCCTTACTTCCAGATAGCTTAGCTGACGTGGGTTCCGTAGGCCATACAAAACAGACTTCGTAGATATTTTCCTTGATCGTAGGTGGGATATTTTTACCCTTAGATTAGAGTCAGTTGGCAACTCAATTCGTTTAGTTGCCATCCGATTAAGGGGACTAGTTTTTAAGATATTTTTTTTATAGGTAGTAGACCAATATAGATTTTAGCAGGAGAATAAGGGTTAGATTTTCGATTTCCTTTGCTTTGCTTTCAGTTCAGAGTTCATAAAAGCAATATACTAATCGGGTTGGTTCTAGATTTTAGTGGTAAAACAAAAACACATGGGTGAGATTATGGTGAGTAGCGAGGAAGAGGAGGAGGTGAAAACTGTGAGTGAAACGGAGAAGGAAAATGGGGAGTTGGAAGTGAATACGACGAAGAAGAAGAAGCGGACGCCAGGGAGTTGTGCCTCTGGGGAAGTGGTGAAATGGGAAAGGTTTTTGCCCAGGTTGGCGTTGAGGGTTTTGTTGGTCGAAGCTGATGATTCAACCAGGCAGATTATAGCTGCACTTCTCCGGAAATGCAGTTATAGAGGTTAGTTTCCTCTTTTGCCTCTGTCTCTCGTTGACAAGCATTGCTTTTATCATTTTATTCTTGAATTACTACCTTTTTTTAAGTACGGAGAGGTTTTTATTTGAATTATCCTTTTTTCAGGGAAAAATGCCTTTTTAATTTTTTTTTTCAATTGCTTCAGCTTATTTGCTCTGTGTTGAGAATCGTCTCTGTTTCATCACTTCCTTGCTTCAATTTTTAATTTGAAAAACAGGCGTTTCCATCAACAGTGATGTGAATTTGATCCATTAGTAGTGCTGGTTTTCGATTTCGATTTCGAATTTGAGCTAGCAGAAAAACATCCTTTTCTCCCACTGTTTTTAGTTGCTTACGCTTTAATGGGTACTTCAAACTTTGAAGCGATAGTTCAACTTACCTTCTCTGCTCTTCATTAATCTTATAGATTTGGTTAATTGTTAGTAATATTTCCTTTGGAGTTAGAATCCACCTGCTCAAATCCGTTTCATGTTTTCCAAAATTGGGTAAATATATAATTAAAAAAAAAAAGAAGGGAAAACAAAACCTCTTAATTTATAGATCAAGGCCAAAGAATATAAGGAGGCAAAACAGAACATTGCTCTAGGCTGCTTACATGAAGCTTGGGCTTATCAAAGTCTTCCATGTGGATCTAGATGCCTAAAACTATCATATTTTTGGAACTTTTTAGACTTGCCAAGACGCAATTCGTTGATTCAAAGTGGGTAAGCAGGGGCTTGAAGGGTCATGAACCATGGTGCATTGAGAGGCTGTTATACAGTTAATTAGTTACCACTGAAAAATTAGGGCCAAGGTTCGGGGGACATCTTATCTACTCAACAGGTTTCACCCCAACTAGTTTTGTATCAGGAATTTTAGGATTGAATTGAGCCCAGTTGAGGGTATCTACTTCATATTGAAGATGTTCTACTTTTTAACAGTTTGGCAATAAAACATGGTTAGATATGGTGGTTCAAGCTGTTATTTTTGCTTTTTTTGGGCTCAAAAAATTGCATGTTGATTCTTGCTTCAAACAAGAAATTGTTTAGAATTCTAATATGCTATATTTGGAACTGAAAATGGTTTTATTTTCCCCTTTTTGAGCAGTTGCTGCTGTTCCTGATGGCTTGAAGGCATGGGAGATGCTGAAAGGAAGACCTCATAATGTAGATCTCATTTTGACAGAAGTGGATTTGCCTTCTATATCAGGATTTGCTCTTCTTACACTGATCATGGAGCATGAGATTTGTAAAAGCATCCCTGTTATAAGTATGATATGGAAGATACTATAATATTTTCTAGACATTTGTACAGTTGCTAGAATTTTCTACTTTGGTCTATGGCAAAGCAATTTAAATAAATTTTCTTTTTATTTGGGCATGATTGTGCAGTGATGTCCTCGCAAGATTCAATTAGCACAGTATACAAATGCATGTTGAGAGGGGCTGCTGACTACCTTGTTAAGCCAATAAGGAGAAACGAGCTGAGGAATTTATGGCAGCATGTATGGAGAAGACAATCAGTATGCTTACTTCTACACTTTATCTCCCTATCTTTTTTACAGTTCCTTTGATGTTATAATTTGGATTTTTTCTGGTCATGATTTATATCTGTTGTTCAAATCAGTCAATAGTTGGTGGAAACTCCCCACTGGATGAGAGCGTTGGACAGAAAAAAGTTGAAGCTACCTCTGAAAATAATGCTGCAAGTAATCATTCCAGTGGCTGCTCAGCTGGTGTCCAAAAAAATAAGGAACAAACTGAGAAAGGGAGTGAGACACAGGTCAGTACTCTTCAACGGTTGTAGGAGCTTTGCTTTGTGATTGATCGGTGCATTTCCTATGTAGAAGATTTACCTTACATTTACTGTGCCTTTTTAAAGGCTATCTACTGTTTCCAGAGTGGTGACTTTTTCGTGTGTGGACTGATTAAGCTTATCTGAAATTACTAATTTATGCGGAACATTGAAAACTTTTGTCATCTTCATCATTGACTATTAATCATAGGAGCAAAGAGTAGTGTAAAAAACCTGGAAGCTATAAGCTTTGAATTATTTTAACCTAAATCCGCCACAAGCATTTTAACAAATACTTCTGATTGTGGAAGATTCTTGGCATGAATGTAGGTGCTCGACAATAAAATGCCTTGCTCTATTCCACTAAGTTGTACATTTAATTTTCACTCAGCAGAATATTAATATGCTTGTTTTGGATGTTGTGCGACTTTGTCATAACTTGGTTTCATTTTCATTTAGCTTGCTGACAACCATATAGCTAATTTAGATTTCTAGTGGAGTAGCCAAAAATGGTTCTGGGAACACTTTATAGAGCCTTTTAAAGGCCATATATGTGTTGATGAGGTCACTCATGGTCAAAAGGAATTTTCTTTCAGTTTAAGTTGGCTACATGAAGTTTCATATAGACTGCATGTTTGCTGTCTCTTGCAGAGCTCTTGTACAAAGCCAGAGATGGAAGCTGAGAGTGGCCACTTGGAAAATATGCAGGAATTTTCACACTTGATAAAGGGAAAATCTCAACCAAGTGAATCGCAGAAGCATGAAGCTCTTGCCAGTTTCAATCAGAAACTGCTCATGCATGAGATGAAAACTGGGGGTAAGACATTAAATTTTGAAGTTTGGCAATGTATTTTCTGTTCAGTAGGAGGGCATCTAACCTTCCCTCAATGTCCAATCAAATTTGTAAGCAGTTGCTGTTGCCTGCAAGGATGCCTACACAACCTCTGTGTACAAGGGTGTTGAACTGGAAAGTCAAAGAAGGGATACTAATATCTTGGTTGAGGCTGGTGATGCCCTTGATGATTCACCAAGAGAAGCTATTGATTTCATAGGAACATTTAATAAAAATTGGAATTCTTCTTCAATAAATAGCACAAGCAAGTTTGATTCTTCTCCACACTTGGATCTTTCCTTGAGAAGAAGTAATCCTAATGCTCTTGAGAATCATGTTGCTCAAGAAAGGCCTACCCTTTGGCATCCTAATTCATCAGCCTTTACAAGGTTGGTTTCTGTTGTATTTTATCATTATCATCTTGAGAATTCAGCGCACAAAATTTTGAAGTGTTTTAGAACAACTGAATTGAATCAGATTTAGCTTTTGCATGTGTTACATCCAATAATTGCATTTTTAGCTGCTAATCATACCAATGATCCTTAATGCAGGTACACGAGCAAACTATCACAGCCTCTGCATTCAACATGGACAAGTGGCAGTGATCAAAAGAAAGAATCTGTGAGTAATTCTGAGAAGATGTTGTCCAATATTATTTCTGAATATAACTCCGATACTCCTAGTCCCACACCAACTTCTCAAAGAAACATGATTCCTTTGACTACTGGAGCTCTTGGTCAATTGAAGCAAACTGAAGTAACAGCATCTTGCACGCAACAGAGAGTATTTCCTGTCCCAGTACCAGTGAAGGGTATAAGATTGAATAACCTGTGCAATGGCTATAATTCATTAATTCCTCCAATCTTTTGTCCACAGTCAAGTTTTTCCCAGGTACCAAGTCCAAGCTCAGCCAACCTACAGGAAACTGCCTTTAGTGTGAATCTATTTCGTCATTCCAGTTTTGAAACCAACTCCTCTGGACCGTTGTATGACCGACTTGCCTCAAATACAAACCAGTCAACCGACCAACCCTTGCACTATCTAGATCAAAAGTTGGATTCAATTGAGGATCAAGGATATACTTCTCCTACCACTGATCACAGTGCAAGCAGCAGTTTCTGTAATGGCTCCTTAAGTCAGCTTAATGGTATTGCACATGGAAGCACTGGTGCAAGTAATGGCAATGTTGATCAGGCTCCTATTGCCCGTTCTACTACAGAGAGCAAGAATGATGACAGTTTTCCCAGTCCTGGTGGAAATTCCCACCGTTCTATCCAAAGAGAAGCAGCTCTAATGAAGTTTCGCTTGAAGCGGAAGGATAGATGCTATGAGAAAAAGGTACAGAATTATAATCACTTGCCATCATTATGTGTTTACATGTTTCCTGTTACACTACTTTTGCATACCAGAAATTCTAATCTAAGATATTCATGTTGCATGGAAGTAATAAGCAATTTTCTAGTGCTATTCTTCAATTGCAAAGTAAAATGTAGAACCATGTACAGGTCACATTCACATAGATTGAGCAACTTAGAGGTAGCTAATGTTTCACACTCAAATCTTTTGACAGGTCCGATATGAGAGCAGAAAGAAACTTGCAGAGCAGCGCCCCAGAGTAAAAGGTCAGTTTGTTCGTCAAGTGCAGGCTGATCCTACGCATACAGAAGCTGAGCGTCATTATGGGAATTCATCTGATGGCTAGGCCTAGTCACAACTTCGTAAACTGAGAAGGAGAGCATGGATTCAAATTTGGTTGGATTTTTAGAAATGGTGGCAGTGGCTATTGCAGCCTTTTGTTTTGTGAAGCTGAAAAAACAAAGGAGGTGCAGAATTCTAAAGATGCTTTGGCACATGTCCATAATTATCATATTAGTAGTAATTGACCCAGGTTGTTATGTACTTATTGTAAAATAATATTTTGATCTTTTATAGTTCACAGAGTTTTCTTCCCTGTTTTTCACTGGGGTTGCCTGAGTCATTCTTTATTGGTTACCTTGTAGATTTGTTGATTCAACTGTCTTATATGCCAGTAGCAATTACCAAACATGCCTAGCGTAAATACAAATCTAGTGTAATCTCATTTTCTTATAATGTGGTGGAAAACTAATAGACAAGGTTATATTATTCTTGATTTTCCAAAATATAAATATATTCTCGTATTTTTTATCCCTAATTATGTCTTGGAATTTGGAAAGCTTGAATTTTCATTTGAAAACGCCAAGCTTCTGGGCAATTTATAAATTCTAGAGGTAAGCCATCTGTCTTGGAAGTCTTTCGATTATGACAATATTAAGTCTCTCTGGTTTCATTTTTTATTGGACGATATTGCTGTTAGTTCTTGGTGAAAATATGTAGGTATTAAATTAAACTTGGCAATTGATTTCTTCTAGAAGTGTTTATTGGACTCGGTTGGATTAAGTTGAATCAAACTTATATTTGATATTAATAATTTATATATTTATTTAATTTTTCGATATCGGTCTAAATTGAAAAAAATAAAAAAATTTAAATTCATTCATTAATCCTAATTTTATCTAATAAAAATTAAAAAAATAAAAATATTTTATTTAAAATAAAAATTGATATATATTTATATAATTATAATATTTTAATTATATATTTTATTTGAATCAAGTTAAGTTTAAATTTTAATTTTTTTTTGTTTAAGATTTAATCTAAAATTTAAATAAATTTAAAAATTATGTTCAAATTTATTTAACGAATTTTAATATTTTATGCAAATCCTCGGGCTGTGAACTTGGAGTGAGTAACCAAATATTTGAACAAACTAATTTCATCCAACTTTGTTTAAAAATTTTTTGATTTAGCAATGGCACCTCACAACTCCCAGAACTGCTAATAGCTTCCAATAACATTTTTCAGTGTGTAATCTTTGCTATGGCAGATTAATTAATCGACAGCCAATTACAGGAGTTTCACACTATCAATAGGAAACGGAGTGCTTTACCGCCTTCCCTGTCCAGGGTGGAGTTGCCATCCTAACAAAAATGTATTACTAGTGTTCATATTTTTCAACTTGGTGCAAGCCTTGTTCTCATGTTGTCATGAATGCGGAGAAATCCAGGATGCTTGAAAATAATTGAATTCACGGGTTGCTGCCATCTGCCATGGTTATTGTTAGCAGCGGAGCAGATTCACCTTTGTCTTTGGTGGAAGAAACGCTATGGTGGCCCACCAATAATAGAATTTGAATTCTTGCTTGCTCTTGATATCTGCTGATTAAGCTAATTCATGATTCCAATTCAATGTATTGTAATTCCAGACTCATTAGTAAAACAAACTATCATGTAGGAGCGAGTGAACATAAATTTGATGTCCATGTAGCCAGGCTCTCACTACAATGAGATGATATGTCACGAGTCCAGGGAAGGCACTTTCTGGCAGTTTTCTCTGTTTTGGCTCTTGCTCTTGCCTGACTCTGGTTCCTTATAGATTTAAAACTTTAAATTGATCAAAATGAAAAGAACAGGACAATTATAGTAGCTTTTTAATGAAGTTACAGTCACTTTACAACAGCCCCACAAAAAAATGGAGAATGATTTTAGCCTGCCACCATCCATTACCATCAACACATGTTTATCTCCAAAAAAAACTAATAATAAATAAAAGAAAAAAGTTTAAGATCTTTTTTCCTGTTATAATGAGGAAATTTAGGAAATGATGAGAATATTAAAAACAATACTCAAATTACTCAAGAGTCATTAGTCATGGGGTCATCTAGCTTTTCTCTTGATTGAATTGAAGGGCTCCAAAACTGAAAAAGTTTTCTTTTTTTTTCCCTAAAGCAAGCCTTCTCTTTTAATTTGAAACGTCTCTGCAACCCCCAGACTGTAATAATTAATATTCCATTTTAAAGATCCCAATTAGGAGGGTCCCTTGGCTTATTTATCTAACAACCTGACTGACTAATAAAGCTGATCTACCAAAATCTACGGCCAAGATAAGAGGGATGGGGCTTCATGATTGACCCAGCTTCAAATTTTTATGAATTGGTGATACCCTTTTCTTAGCGGCTACATAAAGACACCCAGATATCAGTAGAATGATTCCCGGTTGTTTCCAAAAAGTCAGTTTTACTGATTCTTCATGTCTCACTCCCCTTTGCACTGCTCAATAATATTAGAAACTTTTATGTACAACTTCAAAGCTACAGGTTTATGTAAAAAACTCATGATTCCCATACTTCATGTTGGCTTTCACTAAACAAGGTGGCTGATTAAAAGAGAGTGGGAAAGGACTAGAAATGAAGATGCCACTGTGCCACTGGGCCACTGCATTGCATTTCACTTAGATCCAATCAGACGAGAATGCAATGGCTACTCTCTCTTTAAAGCTATTTTAAAAGCCATACTTTCTTTTCAATTGTTCTGAAAGTGTTTCCCCATTCCAGATTCTGGTTAAGAAAGCTAAAAAAGGATACCCTCGTATCCTCCCCCTCTCAATCATGTTTGCGTATACTGAAGCATATCTTTTTGTAAAGTACAAAGAGTATAAAACTTGTACTTCAAGCCTGTTGCTTGGTTCTCTGAGGTAGGATCATGGATGCATATTCATGACTTGAGAAGGGGTCCTAAATCCTAATGGGGGATCTTTGATCCTTGATATTGAGCATCCATAGATGAGTGCCATTTGTACTGTGGTTCTGGTTACAGCTGGTACTCACCCAGCCATATTCCTTTGGCTCAGTAAGAACAGAAAAAAGGAAATGACCAATTGCTTAGATGAGATCATGTTGTAGTCTTGTCCATTCCTGTTACTAATAGTCTAATGGATTGTTAAGTTGTTCTAGATTGTCCATAATTAATAGACACCTTGATTTTGGGTTTCATCATTTACAGGCAAACAAAATTATGTTAAGCATTGCTACATGTTTGTCTACAAATGAAATAAATTTTATTGATGATTATTTCCCTGATTCTAATGTGGAAACAATCAGATATGTCAATCATTGTGCAATTCTGAAATGAATATATTATAATTGGAAGAAAATAAAATACCAACGTAGCTATCTTATTCGCTTTTCCAAAAGGGTTTTAAGCACTTGAACTCCACCACAGTTGGTCATTGTGTAACCATCCCATCTGATAATTCAGATTTGCTACATCCATAAGAGACCAAAGCAGGAGCATAGTCTACTGATCCAATGGTTGGAAATGTATCATTGACATTGTAACCATCCCATCAGTAAAGTGAATATCTCTATTCGCCACTTACCACCACCAGGAGGAGCTGCCAGTCAAAAGTAAAATAATTGCTGCTTTCTATTTCCAATTTCCCTCTTTATTAAGGCCGTCGCCTCCCTTTCCTAGCATGTAAACCTTCTATCTCTTTCCCTTCCTCCCTCTTGCAAATGTCTCAAATCCACTTAAAATCTCCAAAACACTGTGCCAAGCAAGGAATAAGCATTGACAAGTCATACAAGAAATTATTTTTTGCCTTCTCTGCATTTTTTACCTCAGTTTTAGCCTTTATATTCCTTATCTGGCTTGTCCTTCACCCTGAAAAACCACAGTTTTCCCTCAGGGAAGCTGATATCTACCAACTCAATCTCTCTGGCCCTCAGCTTCTCAATTCTTCCATCCAACTCACCCTGCTCTCCAAAAATCCGAATAAAAAAGTTGGCATTTACTACGACGAGTTGCAAGCTTATGCTGCATATAAAGGGCAACAGATAACTGTTGATACCTCTCTTCCTCCTTTCTACCAAGGACATGAAGAAAGCAACCTGTTAACAGCATCTTTAGAGGGAACAGGGCTGCCTGTGGCTTCATCTTTTGGTTATGAAGTTGGACGTGATCAGACTGCTGGGAGAATAGTCCTAAACCTGAAGGTAAAAGGAAAGCTTAGGTGGAAGGTTGGGACTTGGGTTTCTGGCCAATATCGCTTCAATGTCAACTGCATCTCAGTTATGGCCTTTGGACCTACTGCCCCAACAGGTCCTCTGACTTCAAATCAAGGGACTCAATGTTCCACTGCTTTGTGAGATGATACGTTAACTAACATGCTCAGCGGTTATTTTAGGTCTATCTTTATCAGCTTGTTGTTCTATAGTTTTCACTGTTTTATGTATTGTATTCTGTAAACTAGACTTAATTTTTTATCAGGAAGATTGAAACTTCAAGGATTGTAATGTTGTAAGTGATAATGAAAAGCTTGTTTAGAATGTTCATCTTATCTTGTATGCTTATCATTCTGGCCTGATTTTGCTTTGCATGTGCATGGTGGAGGATGAAAAAGAAGATGCATAGCTTCTTTCTAAGCGGAAAGATGAGGAAGGATTGTTTCACTTTTGCTCCTTCGGTTGTTCACTGAGCAGGAAGAAAAACAACTTGAAACAGAGGTGATGGTTGATGAGATTCTAATTGGAAAGAAAAAGGGGTTTCAAAAGGTGGGAAATAGGTTGCTTTGGTGGTTAAGGAATCGTAAATTTCCATGTCAACCCTTCGCCTTTAGTAATTAGCAGACGATTCATGGTGGCTATCTAGACCACTCATGTAGCTGCGACCTGACACCAGCTGGGTCCATTTGCTTCCTGAATCTTTTCTTTCTAATCTTTGCCTATCGAGCATGAATAGTTGATTATATATATATACACACACACATATAGACTGAAATAGTTGAATGTATAAGCTCGATCCTACACAGGTAAAACCTCCAATTTTTACGAGGACGACAAAAGGGAGGATGCCTCAGGTCATTTGCTGGATAAATAAAAGAGAAACGAGGTAGAAGGAGAAAGAAAGTTGCAGCCCTTTATGAAGTCCCTCGTAAAGACTATGGAAAAATCATAGACGATTGGGCACAGTTTATGTCTATTATTATCATAGGTTACAAGGACCAATGGAACAAAGAAATATTCTTCAATTACTTTTGTGGCACATGGCAAGGTGATGTCCTTCAATTTCTCAAAAAATGAAAAACTACAACTCTCGAAAAACAACAGAAATCCTCTATTAGCTGCAGAAAATATACCTCAATTTTTGAAAGATTTAACCCAAATCTTGAAAAATAAGTTTTGTGGTAATATAGAATCTTTGGATCTTACTCAAGAAGCTCAATTTATTTTATCAAAAATAAAATTGTGATATTAAGTATTTAGATGATTTTGTCTAAAAAATATCTTTTTAATATCAAAAATTGGATGAAAAACATTCAAACTTTTGATTACAACAATATTTTCTTAAACTTCTCTCATCATGAGATGAATTATGTTCACAAAATTATTCCGTTTACTTTGAGTTAAAACTCAAAACTGTTCATGTTGCAAATCCCAACATCGACCTTTATGACACTCTTAGATGTAGAATACGCTACGTTCAAAATCAGGTAACCGAATTCTGACTCAAGCAAAAAGCTAATCCATCTTTTTGTAAAGGTAAGAGATCAAAGGCTATTGGCACGAGATCTAGATACACTAGTTGTTTGATGCACCTATGTTGCAACTAATAATTGATTTTGTTCAGTGAAGAAACGTATGATACAGACAAAATCCTTCACTATCAGTGCTCTCAGAAAAGCACAAAAACTAAAGAGAGAGAGGAACTGTTTTTCAAAAGTGACCGTACTTTCTAAGGAACACGGAAATAACTCCGAAATTTCACAAGCCTTATGCGTTTCAGTTTTAATCTCCCCAAATTCTAGTATTTCAAGTTAAGCTAATTACCTTTCAACCTCTGTTTGAGCTATTTCTCTATGCATCAATACAGTTTCTTATTGGCGTATACTGGATCTAATCAATATATATTGCTGACAGCACTTTAAGGAGCGCAACAGGGCATCACGGCAAGAACCATCGACTGTATTGCATTCAGCTAATTTTCTCACATAAGAGACAAAACCCAGCAGATACCAGAATGAAAAGTTTGTCAAAGACATAACTCAATACATCCATAGTAAAACTGCAGCATCAGTTCACATTGTTAGAACTAAACTCTTGAGGCAGACTTCGGTAAAATTTCTCCAGGCAAAAACTGCAAAGGCCACTCTCTAAGTTACTAAACCCTACTCACTTAGAATGACACCAAACTCTTCAATCAAAATTATGCTCCATAGGAGGGAGATAAGCTAAGCCTGAATGTTTGAAAACAAGAAACAGTTTACAACTCGACTTCCTCCTTGTCAGTTACAAAATCAATTCCTAATTAAAGAGGAAAATACTTCAATTTTCCATAAGAAGCCTCAAAAAAACTTATTCAATAAACTCTTTAAACATAAGGCACTTGAAGCAGAGCTCCTCTCAAATCCTTATGGGATGGGAGAACTCATAGTACTGTGTGACTCGTAATATTGACTTCCTCACTTATCACTCTGCATTTGACTATTAACAGTATACTAGATGAAATAGGGGCCCAAAATTGTAATAACTACAGTAATACGGAGTGCTAATGGCTGATGATTTTAGTATTCCTATTATTCATTATTCTAACAAGGGGTTTAGCATTTAGGTTCAATGGTGGACAGATAGCACTTATCAGCCAACAGCACACTCGTGAATGGCATTCATCTCTACATCATCCATTATAAGTTAATACGTCAACATTTTATCAAGACTCAGGAATTCACAAAGTTGAAACCAAGTCACAAGGATTAAGCGGCTCATTCAAACTTGTGCATAAAGAGAAAAAGGTCTACAAACTAACCTGCTTAATAATAATTTAATTTCTTTGTGCAACTAATTATTGTAAATTTCAATCTTCTACTCCATGCTTTGCATTCAAATGAAAGGTATAGCACATCCCAGCACATTAGTTCTTATCTAGTGCTACATCAGTATTTGGACGATCTGCTTGCTGTATTCACTGATCATATCTGCTGAGTAGTTCAACCATCTTAACTTCAATGGCACTTGGGAGACTTGAGGTAAATTTTTTCTTTCCACAAACAGTTTAGAAAAAAATTTTCTATTATATTGTTCAAAGACAACTTAAGTATCTGGAACTCAGAAGGACTTCAAAGAAAAAAACAACTATATGTACGAGATCAGAATGGAGGCAATAAAACAACTGGGTCTAGCTCTACAATTGCAACAATAACTTGATTGTATGCAATCAAAGCTGTTGCGATGACAAATTCGTTTACACAATCGCAATGGTCTTTAAATCACAAAATAGTAACAATAGGCTCTATATTTGAAAAATAACTAAAGAATGAAGTATGTAATTCTGTCGTTTTAATGTATATATAGAGAGAGAGAAAGAGAGAGAGTTCAAATATTCCTTTTTACTATACAAAGACAGGTACTTTAATTCCTTAGCATCTCAGCTTCACCAGGATCAAATAACAACAAAAAGCAAAACTATAAAATTTCGCATCCATTAGTGGAAATTCAAGAACAGACCTAATCGGAACTAACCCATTTCCAGTAATGCTTCCTTACAGACACCGCTTTCTCCAATCCCCTGGTCCCATCAAAATCCTCGTACTCTTCCTTTTCTTCTGTACAAAAATCTTCCTCAGGCAAACCTTCCACCCACGCGTCTACTGAATGCAAAACATAACTCGTTGGCAAACCCGGATATGACACCGAATTTCGCTCCTCCAGTTTCTTCTGATAAGAACCTGGCACAATTCTCACGACCCCGGTATCAATTATTGAACCAAGCTCTTCTTTTACTGCACGAGCCACGGCTTCTTCAGGGGTTTCATTTTCTCAGACAATGGTCTAAACCGATCCCTGACACTACCATCCGACAATTCTTGTCGAGATTCAACGAGGATATGGTTGTCTTTGCCGAGTATACGAACCGTAACAACATTAACCGTACGGAGTGGAGGGGAGGAATCGACAAGAGATGTCTCACCTTCGGAGAGTTCCAGCCAGAGGTTGTGGACGTTTTTGGTTCCGGATTTCACCCCCCAGGAAGCCAGCGAATCAGAAGGTAACCGGGGTTTGAGCCAATCAGAGAGAGCCTGTGGGATTTCAAAGGGGGTCCTTGAGTGAGACATGGTAGGAATTTTGAGAAAGCGGCGTGGGTTTGAAGGGAAAGGAAGGGATTTGGGGAGAGGGTATGGTTGGGTTTAGGGGAAGAGAAGAGAAAAAGCAGAGAAATTGCAGTTAGGAATATGCCAGGAAGAGTAGTTGTTGGCTTGGTAAGGTAGAAGTTAGATTTTGTGCTATGTACTGTTCATTGTGGCGGCCCTGACATTTTACTAATAATGATGTCTTGCTGTAGGAATGTTATGATTCTGTACAAGGAGGAGGAGCTGCTTTGGTTTGAAGAGGCTGGTCAGGTCCATTACGAGGAACAAAACTGGAGAAATAGGAGGTTTGGGTTTTGTTGGTCAAGGTTTTGCGTCGGGAAAAGAGGGTTGGAAAATCGTCCCATGATTTGGGACCAGATATTCTGTTTCATTATTCTTGCCTGCTGTGGCCCGTGGCTGAAGCTTAAAACTTAAGGTTAAAGTGGGCTCTGTCCGTTTATCAGTCTTTGAAGAGCCACTTTTTCGTAGCTACATAGTAGCCTTTCGACATTTTAGGCCCAAAGCCTTCTAATCGAGCTTCATGGTTTTGAGTTTCCTTATTTGTTGGGTCTTGAGACCCAGGCAAAATATTTTGCTCATTTTAGCGAACATAATAAAGTCGGGCGAGTACCAACTGCGCGAAAGCACAAGTACATAGCGGCATCAGTTTATGCCAAGTGTATAGTACTAGGGATATATCTTTCTATGAGAGAAAAGAACACTCCTTGCTTTTCAAATTCAATAATCCAAACCCAATGGGATTTAATCTATCCAAAGAAACTTTTCATTCAAAGCTGCTGTGGAGTGCTTTTCTAAAATACTAACTAATAAAACTTTTCATTCACCAGACAGGAGTTGATAATCCTACTACAACAAATACTACAAAAATACCAATTAGTTTTTCAGCTGCTGATGGGATGGGAAAACTACTAAAGAATTCCATTGGAGTGTACAGGTTCTATGGCAGGACCGATGATACTTTACTTGAGTTGGCTTTCATTAAGTTATTCAACAGAAAAAATACTTCTGTGAACAACCAATCAGAGTACGTAACTTACTATCAATGATTAAAGAAGATAAAAACCTAAAGCGGGAAGCTCGATAATTCGCAGATCAAAATACCAAATCATCTTCATCAGGGCAATTCCCATTGAATCAGCTTCGCTGATCGAGAAATTGTAAAATGCAAAAAATGTCCGTTAGGTTACACGTTTTCATTCTGCCTTAAGGAATCTGAACAAGTCACACTCACATGGTAAATGAACTGTCTAATTAATATATTTAACACGTAAAACATTCTCACCAAAGAAAACGATAAGTGAAATTTGTTGGTTTATTGATACAAAAACCAAGCTGTACAAAATAATTCATTACAGTAGAATCTGTTATGTGAAATTGTAATAACCTTAAATGGTTAACATACATGAACAAAGCAACATAGCTTACAATTTGGGCAGTAGATCAAGGATTCAAATAGCGGTCGGATAGCGGTGTCGCAGTCGTTATTTCGTAGTCGCGTCACTATCTATCACCGTTATTAAAAAAAAGATGAAAAATAATTTGAATCTCGTTTATAGCGAATGAATCACGGTCGTGAATTGTAGTATAACGGTGAATAGCGACAATAGTAGCTCGCTATTGCTTGCTATTACCGCTATTGCCATTATTCCTATTTTCATTCAAAAATTCAAAAAAAAAAAAATCATTTGATTTTCTTTAAAAACTTAAAATAAAAACAACAAGAAAGAAAATAAACATCAATTTACAAATTTAGAAAAAAAAAACTCATAAAACTTAAACTTTCAAAAAAATCAATTCTCCCAAGTTCAACTTTAATCAAAATCAAGTATATGCAATTTAAAGTAAATAATTAATTCAATACTCAAATTATCTTTTTTTTTAATTTTCAAAATTGCCATGATTTTGTGTGTTTGGGATTAAATTAGGCTATGTTACATTGATAGAAGGAGGTAAGAGTTGTTGTAAAATAAAAGACAAGAGATGAGAGTGAAACTTAAGATTTACAGAAGCAAGCAGACAGCACACACCAAATAAAAAGAGAATTGAGAGATGAGGATGAGGATAAAGGTTTGGAGAAAAAAAATTATTAAATGCAAGGTAAAGAGATGAGAAGTTGTGTGGGTCTATGCAATTTAGTCAAGAGACAGGAGAAGTAGACTTAAGGTTATTATTATTGAAAATCGCCCATAACATGGAAGCTGTCAAGTTTGATTTACTGTAAATTCATAAAAAGTACTCTTACTTAATTTATGAATACCTAATCACTTATTATTTAATTTATGCATAATATAATTCGATAATAATTTGATGAATACGATAATTAAATAATTAAATATATTATTCGTTATGATTATTTATTTTTCACATATTTATTTATCTCTTTTTTTTTAATTATCATATAAATAATTTTTTAAATATAAATATTTTACTATAAATATTTTTTTTAAATAAATAAAACACATGATATGATATAAATTACTTTAAAAATTATAAAATAAGAGGTTTTATGATTAATAATTAAAATTATTATATTTTATAGCAAGTTGAGTAAAATTTAAAAAAATTCACGATCGCAATAGTCGTAATGACCGCGAAAATTTTCATTATATCCGCAATCGTGACAAACGTGATGCGATCGAAAACGTAACCGTTATTACAATTTAAATCCCTGCAGTAGATCTCGACCCTTGGTGTGTTCACTTGTACTACGTAAAGCATATCAAGCATCAACAAACCAAAGTTAAACATGGTAATGGAAGATGCCTCATGCCTTTGACAACTGAAACTTAAATACTTTTGGAGTCATTGTTTACTCTTTGACAAAAACTTAATAGTTTAAAGTTATTTCACCATAGACTTCATCAATAGTACAAAGTACAAACAGAATTAACAGGCTTCAATAAAACTGATTCTACAATTTAACTCATAGAGCAGTGCAAGCTTAAGCATTCTATGCAAAAAAAAAAAAAAGAGACTTCAATACATTTCAAGCAGGGAAATACAGTTTCGAACGTCAAACTTTGAGAAGCTGCATTTTGTTAGAAAAAGCAATGGCAATCCAATCAGGCAGAGCAGCAGACCACTGCAACTGATTAATTTCGGAGCCAGCTAAGTACACAGACAAAGGATCAATACCATTAGGTCCAACCACCGTAGGCAACTCCCAAATAAGCGCCTGCGTGTCATCCCCAGCAGAACAAATATGCTTAGAACTATGAGGAGCCCAGGCAATCGCATTGACACTTGCTCGATGTCTCTCCAACTCAGCCACCGGTATTGTGGGCGACCTTATATCCAAAATTACAACTTTATTGCTATCCATTAGAATCGTAGCCATATACCTCAAATCTTGCTTGTTCCAAGCTAATCTTAATAAAGGCGTGTCCGGTTGGGGACTTTCATAAATAATCATGGAATGTTCTTTGTCTCTTAAATCGAAAATCCTAACGGATCCATCAGCGGAAACGGAAGCAAAAACTCTAGCTTCACACCAAGCAATGTCGTAAACCTCTTTATCGTGAGCGATCAATTGGGTTTCGACAACGCCTTTTTCGATGTCCCAAATGGTGCATGTGGTGTCAATGCTGGAGGTCCCAATTCTCTTGGGTTCAAGATCGTTCCAATCGAAGGAAGTTAACGGGGCGCAAAACTCGCTGGTTTTGCTGTTGTTGAGAACGGAGAGAGGATTGATGGAAGATTCTCGAACTTCCCAGAGACGCAGGTAGTCGCCGGATGAAGCGAGGATATCGGAGGAGGAAGGGGATTTTAGGTTGGGTTGGAACATGAGTTTCGTCGGCGGGTAAGGATGGTCGAAGGAAAGAGTTGGGTGGGTTTTGATGGAAAGGGTTTCTGGGTCGAACGAAATTATGTCGACTCTGTTACTGTAGTCTTCCATGAAACTGCCGAGAGCGAGGCGTTGGTGGTTGAGATTCGTGACGGAAGGCATGGAAGATAAGGCCATGGCATAAAGAGGGTAGGATGATTCATAGGTAATGAAGTTAGCGGATCTCGGCTGGGATTCTTGAGTTGAATTCTCCATTTTTTTTCCAGCGTAGAATGCGAAGGAAAAATTGGGGAAAGCTTAGGATTTATTGGGAAAGTTACCGGGAGGTTTTAATTTTCCTTTTCCTTTTCCTGATTTGGTTTCCAGGAAAGTGGAAGTAAATTGTAAGACCATGTCACACTCGTAGTATTGTTTAAGATATGTTTAATGTTTCGCTTGGGTAAAGGCTTCGGCTTTCTATGATTTGCTAATCATCTGTCATTCAACGCAATATTCAAGTTGAACATGGTCAATGGTCAATGGTCAATGGTCAATGGTCAAGTAACAACCATGAACTTTCTTCTTCAAAGGGGTTCCGAGTTTCTTGCCTTCTGGAATAGTACTACTGCATTTCTTTCTTACTATGAGTCAAAAAAGGTTCATTTACTGCTTAAAAGTCTATGGAATAATCACATGTATTGAGTTCATATGTAACAACTATGAATGACGAATTAGGTGCTAAAATTTTGAGGGTTTTATCACTACTTAAATTACATATTGCACCATACTTGGTGCAATTTCTTGTCCAAGATTTCTTATTCAAGGTTTCTTGGAAAATATGAGAATAATGGCATAAATTGTTCCCAAGAAATATTATCACATAATCCAATTATGGTGTTGGGTTGGATGATGAGAAGTCCAAGACAAGACTGATTCCAAAAGGCTCACAAAAAAAGTTCGTAGAGAAAGTGCCCAAACCTGATTTGGATTGGATTGTCTCATGTTTAATGGGCTACTAGCCCAACCCTTGAAACATACCATAACCCCGAGTGATGAAATGAAGAACCGTGACAAACCTTCCCGTCGTTGTGAGCACAAGAAGATCAACCTGCTATTCTTAGAGTAATTTTTATTTACCAAGAATGTCACTTGTACATCACTTATCTTGACTAAATATATCACTTAGTCTTGATCAAGCATATCTACGTTACATTTAACCCGCACCATCCACAAAACTTAGATAAAAACCTCCGGATAAATAGTTGGAAAGTAAGACATCTTCATTCTCTTTCGTTCCAAACTATTCTCTCTTGTTTTCTCTACTTTGCTCCTCACTCAAATACTTATTTATCGAAATGCATCCCGAAGTCTCGACTCCATCGTTCCTTTCACCTTTCCTTCTCCTTTCACACGTCAAACATATTTTCAATCAAATCATACACAGATTCTTCCTCGCTAACCCGTTAAACTCATCAACAATGATGAAAATCTTGCACTCGAAGTTGATTAATGGGCCATTTTTTATCATGACTAGTAAACATACAAATGGGCCTAAATTGCTAAAACCCAACCACACAATCTGCTTGAGAAGTGGTCACGAACAACTATTTCTGTACTTAAGTTTAATATGCCTTTGCCTTGGGCCAACTCTGAGGACCGTCTTGTCCAGTAACTATAGCCCAGTATCGCTGTGATCATTGATACACTAACACCTGAAGAAATGGAAACATGGAATACTACTCTACGTCGACATATAGGATAGCAATCTAGCATTAGCAGCGGCAGCGGTGTTAAGACCAGTTAATTTAAAAGCGTCAGACAGCGTGGCCGAGTATTTGGACAGACAAATCCCATGTTCTCCTATATATCTTTATCTTGGCCGGAAAGCCTAGAAAGCTACAAATTGAAAAGTTTGATTATCATCATAAACTTGATTTCTTTTCAATCTTCAACTTGGCCGGAAATTAAGCCTAGGAAACCTACAAAATTGGAAGGTTCTTATTGTTAAACTTGATTTGTTTTCAGTCTCCATCTTGGCCGGAAAGCATGGGAAACCTACAAAATTGAAAGATTTTGCTGTCATCTAGCCTTTGAAGAGTACAAAATTGAAACTTGAATTCCTTTTAATATGAGAAGGAAAATTTTGAATCCGCTCTTTGAAGAGCATAAATGCAACTATATATCATCTAGCACAGTGCTTAGATGCTTTAATTAAATTCATAAAACCAAATTTCTAGATCTAAAACACATGACTAACTAATACTACAGTGCTTGATTTCAAATGACATGAAACCTTATATGTAAACTTCCCTTTTCTCATGCTTTGTGCTTTTCACTAGACCATTTAACATTTTAAGCCTTTCTGTTGGTGATTGACATCTTGGTTAAGCTGTCTGCCATCAATTCATGAATGGAACCTAAGATTGGCCAATCAATTAACCAAAGTAGAATTTTCAAGCTTCATTCAAGTTGTAATTACGTCACATATGACTAATTTCCATACGAAAATGACATATTAATTTCCTTCCACTAAATCATGCCGATCATTATTGAAATTCATTGTCAAAGAGTCAAGTGATCGAGCTCATCCCATTATCACCACCATATCACTACAAATACAATAGTTCTTCTGCAAAAGTGTACCATTAGAAAAATCCAAGGATCATTTGAAATCCAGAAACAGTTAGATATTTATCGGTTGAAATTATCATGTATCTGTTCTTTGATTTTGTTCAAATGAGATGTCAAAAAGATCTTTCGGAAATGCGTAGGTTCACTGAAAAGGTATGGGTAGCACTGCTCCAAACTATATATATCCCTTTAAAAGGCATATTTGAAGATATGTATCACGCTGATGAACATGGATTAGACGATGAAAATGAAAAAGTGAATTGCCAAATCAAATGGAAAAGCAAAGTCACGTCGTTGATATAAAATTTAAAACTTATCTCAAGAAAGACAGGAATCAGATCAGACTATAAGAAAGAGACAAAATTTTTTAGGTTCATTATCCTTTAAATGCCGAGTATACCAAGGAAAATTATATACTACTAGTATATTAAAATAAATCGGGTATCCCAACATATTGAAATCTGTATTTCGATTTAAATACAAGTCGGGTTTTGTCTGTATTGTCATGGCATCACTTGGTCGTAGGGGGTATGACGTATAAGCCCTGCCCTACTGCTGATGTCACAATCTTCTTGCACGATTTCCCTGAAGCTTCATCTTCAACCCTAACACAGTATATGCAATATTGATGACTTGAACCAATAAAAATAATAACGTAAAAATAATATATAGTAATAAATTTATAATAATAAATAATAAAAAATAAAATACATAAAAATTTATGTAAAAAATCTTTTAATGTTGAAAAAAAAATTATGGATCATAAAAAAAAAATTATTATCAAATAATATATATATAATTTTTCTTTAGTTAAAATAAAAATTAATCAATAATTAGAGAAATAATTAAAAAAAATTTATAAAATATGTTACTCAATAAATATACTTTAAATTTATTTTTAAAGAGTTTCAAATCCGATCTTCACTATTCAAAATATAAAATTTTGAATCATAAATTTACTAATAAAATTTCAACTTAATCAATTTATAGATTAATTTTTTTTCAATCAACTCTTTTTTTTTTTTCCTTTGGTTTTGACGCCAACTTCTTTGTTTTATTGCACAACTTTTTTTATTGTTTAAAGTTTTATTTAAGTAAGACTCTCTTAGATTAAAGATACAAAAAAAAACTTTAAAATTTTTAATTGATCAAAATCAATGGTGCTAAACCTTACTCTTCCTAACAAATATAATATTGAAGGTTGGACTTTGGGGTCTAATTTAGAAAAAAAAAAATACTATAGTGCTCTTATGAAAAATAAAAAACTGCTTTGAAATTTGAACAAAGGTTTAAAGCATTATTTATTATTATTATTATTATTATTATTATTATTATTATTATTATTGTACATTCGTTGCTCGATACAGGACCATGTTTGTTTTGAGCTCCAAACCCACCTCCTTGCGTTGGTTTTTAACAATTAACACGCGCAAAAAGGGCATTAATGAAGGAAAAGAAATCAAATAGTGCAAACTGAAGAATTATGAATAACAAGAAGGAACAAAAATTCATGGTTTGCTGATGGTAAAAACCAACATCAAGGAAACAAATGTGTTTACTCCTTCAAATATTACTCATAGCTAACATGCATGTCATTGTCTTATTATCTAATATTTAACTGGAACGTCTAATGGAAAAATTTTTGAATTTGAAACCTAGCCTCTTGTTTTGGTGAAACAAATGGCTTTGATTATCAAAATAATTGTCTAATGGAAAAATTTTTGAATTTGAAACCTAGCCTCTTGTTTTAGTGAAACAAATGGCTTTGATTATCAAAATAATTAATATAGTTTTATTGGATAAATCATCCAGAGCATTAAACTAAATGAAGTTGTATTCAAGGCAAATGGTATAGGAAAGCTTTAAAAGTCGGAAAAATTTTATAAAATAATCACATAAATGGTAATTTCAAAATAAAAGACTAACAGGTTTGTTAAAAAAATTTAATCAAAGCATCCAAAGATTTGACTTCATATATGTTTTCCGTATTCCTTTACTTAAAAAAAAAATTAAGATTTGAATCTTCCTTTTTTTAATAAAAAAAAATCATGACATATATAAGTAAATAAAAAGAGTACAGATTTTAAGTATATCCCTTCCAAGAACAGCATTAATGTTGTCTTATAAGGTTATTGATATAATGAATTTAAAATTTAATTTAATTGATTTATTTAATTATTTTAAATGTAATTATTTCATAAATTTAAATTTAAATTTTTATAATTATTTTTATAACCTCAAATTGCATGTTATTTCATAAAAAATTATTACTATAACCGATCAATCATACGACAATATTCAAAATGTTACTTCCTCCGTTCCTTTTTTATGTTTTTTTTTTTTTTGGAATATTTTAAAATTATATTTTTTTAATATCTAAATTATTTTTATCTTTTAAAATTATTTTTTATGATTACTTTTATTTTTAATATTAAAAATTATAAAAATTTAATTTTATAAAAAAATTATTTTAATATTTTAATATTAAAATTAAATTTTTTTTAATTTTATAAAAATTGATACTGCTTAGCCAATTTGAAACGGAAACCGTGTGTACGAGGACAATTCAAAAGATGAAAAATATGAAGTCAAGATCTTGGGACAATGGGCGAGTCTATCGTAAAGAGTCACGGCCGCTGATAGCCAAAATCTATGGGCTTTTTGAGGATGAAATCTTCGAGCAGTACAGAAGATTAAAATGGCAGACCCATGCACTGACACTGACGTGTCCTGACTCATCAATTACGTGCCAAACGTAAAATTGAATGCACCCATTCATCTCAACCGTCCGTTTTCCGATCGGTACCGCCCACTATAGTCCCACACGGCACGTGCACCGCCCCAACCCATCATATGCTTTGGACGACTTTATATGGTCAAACATGATTCAGATTTCAGACCCAACCATGACCATGTGCACTGCGCTGTTCCCCTCTTTCATTGCCACAGTGTCTAATCATATCAAACTAAACGCTGCTGTACTTCTGAAAGACCTTAATTGCTGGTTTTTTTAGCCACCTACCTCAATTGGTTCGTAGTACACAGTTTTATATGACGGTACCCTTTTATAGTATCCAACATGTCACGTGGTTTGGATTTCATTTCATTTAATTACTTATAAACTTGTAAGTAGAGGTATCTCTTAGTTCAAGAGTCTGGTTAAAATATTTCAATAAATAATTATTTAATTAGTTAAATTTATTTTTTTATAAAAAAATTTTAAATTTAAATTTTATTGATTATTTAAGATAATTTTAAATATACAATTTATAATTATTTATCTTAAATTATTAAATATAATATATCTTATTTTAATTTAAAAAATTAAATAACTTATATACATTCAAATTTTTCTTAAAAAAAAAAATCGAGTTCGAAATATATCATTTTAAAATTATTAATAAAAAAGGGAAACTCTTATTTATGAAACTTTTTAGTTTCATTTATTAGGATAAGTAAAAAGTGGAATTAGCCTTATCATTGCTAAAGGAAAACGAAACGTCTCAATGTCCATCGATCGTTTTCGTTAGGGTGGGTATTGCGCCAACGTGGATGAAACAAAAGCCATACAACTTCATAGCAAAAAAGATAAAAAGATAAAATCCCATTCCAATGATAAATTTTTTAAAAAATAAAATAAAATATATACAAACGTGAATTAATCGTTGGATAAATTTTTTCTATAATTCATCACTGGTGGTTGCAAAAATTATAAGAGATAGGAAAATTAAAAGAAAAGTGATTTTCATGTTTCGATTTCAGAAATAAATGGCAGAAGAGATATAAAGAGATTGGGAAAGTGGATAACTCTCTACGTTTCCATCGCTCTGCTCTGACTTCATCATTTGCCCAAAAAAGTCATCCACTTGATCAAGGCTTGTCAATTCCTTAGTCAACTGACTGCAAATGCAACTTGACAAGCAAAATATTTACTTCAATAATAAATATAAAAATTTATTTTCATCAAATAAAAACATGAATAGGTTTTTTTTTTTTTTTTTTTTTTTTTTTTTTCGGTTTTGGGAGCGGCACATTATGATATTATCATCCCCGAAACAATAAATTTTTATCACATTGAAAACAAACCAACAGAAGCGACCTCCACTACTGGAAAAGTGCGGACTGATGTTTCGTTGCTGAATTATCACAACGCGACAAATTTTTAATAAAATTTTTTATTTTTTTAAAATACAAAAAATTAATTATATAATACAACTAATAATACGGAAAAAATTCATTTATATTAGTGTAAAATTAAAAAATTTTACATCATTTTTTAAATATTTATCGACATTAATCCAACAGTTTGAGATTAATTTTTTTTTTTTTACTCTTTTTAATTGTAAATATCAATCAATTATTAAAAAAATATAAATTTTTTTAATTTTATACTGATGTAAATAATTCTCTCTTTAATAATAGAATTGAAAAATCAAATCAATTGAATTGAATAGAGAATCGGTGACTTATCCAATTCGATAGAGCTCCGAACATACGTTGAATCGATCAAAACCAAATCCTCGGCTGCATGTTACAATGATTTTATATAATTATTTTATTTTATTTTATTTTTTTTTGGTATTTTGTGTTGGTGATGAGATTTAAGCTTTAATTTCGTAATATTTCATCAATGATTTAATTTTTAAATTAAGTGCATAGTTTTGTTAAATATTTACTGTATTTGATATTTCTTTAATATTAAAATTATGTTTCCAATAACAAAACTCCCTTTTAATTGGATCGGCGGGTTTAATCAAGAGCCCTACTGATTCGACTTCAAAATCGACTAATAGTTTATACTGAATCAAGCGAAGGAAACTTAAACAAACAATTTTTTTTTTTTGAAATTTAAACAAACTATTTAATCAGATTGAATCGTGAAAACTGAAAGAAACATGGACGAAAATAAAATCATACATATAAAAATAAAAATGCCTCTAAAATCTAATTAATTTTTGAAGACAATGATAAATGCTATTGAGAGATGTATTGGTGAGTCTAAGCAATCTTCAAAACTTTGTCTATTACCCATGGATTTTATTTTGTCATAAGGTTAGTTCATGTAGTAAAAAGGTTTATTTTAAAATTTTTTTATCAATTAAGTCGATCTTCATAAAATATTTTTAAAATAAAATTTTAAAATGTATTAGATTGGTAAAAATATATATATATGTTTGAAGAATTATAGGATTTATTGATAAAATATTAAAATTTTAATTTTAATAATCACATTTAATATTTTATTATTTCAAATATAAATGATGTATTTAAAATCGTTCAAAAAAAATAAATACAATAAAAAAAACTTGAAATATTTACTACAACCAGATGATATATCCGTGTATGATTGTTGGTCCAAATTTTTTTATTTTATCATCATTCTTTATTGATTCTTTTGTTATAAAATTTATCTAATTAAAAAAAATCAAATAAGAATAAGACGTGATATATTTATTGGTCTTTTTTTAATAAAATTTATCTAATAAAAAATTAAAAAAATACCCCATAATGAGTGTCACGTTTATTCTTATTGAGTTTAAAATATTTAATTTTTAAGTTAAAATATTTAATAATAAATTTATTAATAAATATTATATTTAAATATAAAATTAATTAATAATAAAATATATTTTTTTATATATACCTGAGTCAAAAATAATACTTTAAACACAATTTTGATCCAATATCATTTAGCTTAAAAAAAATTGACTCATCAAAACTTAATCCTAATTTTAAAAAAATCTTATATCAAATTGAAATAGATCAAAATTTATTGAAGAAAAATTGTTTTACTATCTCTATCAATCAATTTATTTTGTTACAAAATTTATTTAATTAAAAAATTAAAAATTAAAAAAAAAAAGACAAAGAAAAAACTAAGTGCCATGTGAATACCTCATGGCTGGGTCAAAAGGAAAGTTAATATATGTAAAAAAAAAAAAAATCCTATTTTGTCCTGTTTTTACTAAAGTTAATTAAATAACATGTTAGCGATACGAAAACATGATTCCGCTTGCAAACATGGCATGTACACGTCGGCTTCTTCGACTCCGCCATCAAGTCGTCGACAGCGTCCACAAACTCCTGCTTCTATTTGCCAGTACGATGGGACAAAACTTCAAAAAAGAAAACGAAGAGAGGCAAAAACCTTTAAACAGGGTTAAATTATGGAGTAATTTATTGGTAGATTAATTAAATATATTGTAAATAAATATTGTTTATTTATTAAATTGTGTGATTACTTTAATTAATAATGATTGTCTACGCCGAGTAAATGCACGACTAGACTTCAAGCAACGTCTTGAGATGACATACTTGCTAACATCAAATGGACAAGTACCGCCTTATATTTAGCAATAATATCTACATATACATAAATATATATAATTTTTATACAAATTAAAATAGGATAATTTTACACTCTAATTATTTTAAGTATGAATATTACTACTATTAAATAAAATTTATATATTACTTTCTTCAGTCTTAATTTTCTTGTTTATGCAAATTATATATCTTTTTTAAATATTTTAAACTTTATTTGCATTTTTAAAATTATTTTTTAGCATTAAAAATCATAAGACATCAATTTTATAAAAACAAATTTTAATATAAAAAATGTTTTTTTTTTAACTCTGTAAAAACAATAAAAATAAAAATTATTACTATATAAATTTAAAATTTCATTCAAAGTTTACCCAAAAAAAAAAAAAAAGAGAGAAGTCATCCTAACACGTATCCACCTCTATAAATAAAAATAGAATATCAGTTTGAATTACGTGCGTATTCATTCGTTCACCTACAGGCTAATGAACTTGAGGCGAAAAAGCGGTACTACCGTTTCACTGTCCGTGTCAGTACTGTCCCCTCTCTCCTCCCCAAGTGCTCTTTTTTTTTTTGGGTTGTTGTCGTATGTTAATCCTTTGACATGGATACAAAGGTGCTTTCCTCTGGAATTCGCTACTCTAACTTGCCAGAAAGTTATGTGAGACCGGAATCTGAGCGTCCCCGCTTGTCTGAAGTGGCCGAATGCGAAAACATCCCAGTCATCGACTTAGGGTGTGAGGACAGAAGCCATATTGTTCACCAAATTTATCTTGCCTGCATGTATTATGGATTTTTTCAGGTATAGTTCCTGGACAATAGTTACAAATTTGTTGTTGCTTGTATCGTTTTGAAATTTCAAAGGTTTTCAATATCGTTTCCTCTGTTTTTTTTATCTTGATGGTTGGTCATATCATGATCAGGTTATTAATCACGGCGTTTCACAAGAAGCGGTGGAAAGAATGTTGCAAGTGGCGCAGGACTTCTTTGGGTTGCCGGTGGAGGAGAAGCTGAAGCTCTACTCAGATGACCCTTCCAAGACAGTGAGACTTTCTACCAGTTTTAATTTCAATAAGGAAAAGGTTCACAACTGGAGAGATTATCTACGATTACACTGCTATCCTCTCGACAAATATGTTCCCGAGTGGCCTTCCAACCCTCCTTCATTCAAGTAAGCCTTTTTCTCTTCTTCCTCTCCTCATTTTGTTCTTACTAGTTTTCTTTTTCATTGGAAAAATTGAAGCAATGGCAATAAAATGAAAGTTCATTCTCCCCGAAAAAAACCCTTCGTCAGATATACGTAATATGCCTATCGTCATTCAATTAATTGTGTACGTCAGGCATGTTCTAGTGATTATTCTGTTCATACTTGAGTAAGATTAATTTAAAGCATTCATTATTTATCAGAGAGTAACATATTAATTTGATGATCTAAATTCCATACTTAATGTTTATAAGACATTTAAAAAAAAATTTTTGTCTTCTTTTAAATATTAAATAGATCTCTAGGAGAGTGATTAGAACATTCTATATGAAATCAAAAATAAACTAGGTAGTGCGTGGATATTATGTTTTTCTCTCATTTTACTTGAGCACGTGAAAAAACAAATTTGATATAGTGATCTGATTCTTAATTAAGAGATCTTCTTAATGGTTTATCATTTTAATATTATAAATTAGTATTATATTTGATGAACCATAACCATCCAATTCTTTTATTTATGTTCCTTGTAAAGACATATAATAAAATTTATAAAAGCGATATAAAGTTTATTCTCTCGATGTAATATATTTAGGATGCCCCTAGGGATGGAATTTTAGTCTTTTCCTCATGCTAAAATATCAAAATCCTTTTATTAACGAAGTCATAAAGTCAAGTACATAGCAAAGGAAAGTCAAGTCCCCTCATGATTCTTCTTCCCATTGGTTCCCCTATTGTAAGCTAAAGATTGTTGTACGTTCAATAACTTGGCCATGTGCTCACATGGTTTTCCTAGGAGATTCGAGACCACAACAGCTCAACAATGTGATAGTTTTCCCTTTGGATAACCCTCCCGTGGAAAAGTTTTGGTACCTGTCGCTTAAAACTAATTGCATGCCTATTTGCTTGCTTATTATTTCTCAGTCCCTACTCCCAGGTCAATAAAGCAAAATTTAGATCGAGTCATTCATATACGGACAACATCAAGCTCAGAAAAGTTGCATTGCTTTATAGGAAGAGGTGGTAGTGGTGGGGTTACGATTTGTGGGTAAGGGTGACGACATGAATAAAGATTCAAATATATATTGACAAACTTATTAAGGAAACAAAAATGTAACTTTGCCAAAAATCAGCGGTAAGCACGGAGAAATGGATTCTTTAGGAGTTTCGTAATTAAACAAAATTTCCGTCCAAAAAGGTTGAAAGAAATAAAGGCTAAAAATCCTGATTAGGGTGGTACCTTTCGGCCATTGGAAGAGCTATTATAGCTTAGCTGCTCACATGCTGCATCTCTTGGTTCCTGGCAAAGGACTCAGACAGACCACGGATGTCAGGTTTTTCTGATGTACGTGCATGAAGATGCAGGCTTTTGTCCGGAACAAGTAAAACAACCATCGGAAACTCAAGGTTTAACCCCCATTTCTCTAGTTATAATTTCTCTCAGGTCCTAAAGAACCCGAACCAGCCAGTTGAGCTTCGATATTTATTTCATAATTATCTCTATCTAATTTAGCTTTATGAAAAAAAGATATTGAAACGTTTTGAGAGTGAAATTTTAGTATTAAAATTGTTACAACTCGATCAGGGTGTTACATAAAAAATTTAGGGTTATCGATAGCAACTTGAAGGAGCGTTGAGTAGTTATCGTTCTAGGGTTTTTTAGAGGCTGTCAACACATCTTTAAGGTTGAATTTGGATGTAAAGGAAATGTTATTTTGATGTTTTTGGGTCAAATCGTATATTGAAGTTAGTGTTTGGATAACCTAGTGTAACATGGTGAAGCCATTCAAACTGTGCCACATCTCATTCTTTCACTGGACTTAAAAATGACCAATGAAAATTCTCCCCATCAGCAAACCCTTCCCTTCCAAATATGTTGTTTATCTTCTTTTTTTTTTTTTTTCCTCTTGAAGTTATAGTAATAAGACGAAAATATCCATGCAACTTAACCTTTATGTTCTTCATTCATTTTTTTTTCTTTTGATTTTTTTATTTCAAAAAATTGAAATAATTTTGTTAATTTAATATAAATAAATTTTATTACTATATAATAAAAGCAACAAATAATAAAATTTATTACTATATAATTAATATGAATGAATTAAAAAATAGATAACTTCATAGATATTAAAAAATGAAAAATTATTTGATATATCTATATCATTTTTATTAATTTTTAATTATTTATAAAAGAAATTATTATTCAACATAAAATAATTTTAATAATTTTTAATAATTCATTGATTTTATAAATATTAAATCATTTATCATTTTTAAAATTTAATACAATATTTTAATGATAACTTTTTTTCTAGCTATAATACATTCGTTACAATAATTTTTCATCTAAATATATCTTAATTTTGATCTTATCATTACACTAGTCAATTTAGCTTTCAGTTTTCAATTTCGTTATCCCATCGAGATAGACCGTAAATGGGTGGGACGTGGGCCAGAGGTTTCTAACCTTTTCTAGGTAGTGGACAAGCAGCTCAGTGAGTGATAATCAATCTGCCAGATCATCATTGGCCCATTTCACTTTTACACCAACGGTGATGACGGCAAAAAAAGGTCAGATCAGAGCCGTTGGTTAATAGAGTAGGGCGGTGTGGAAGCCCACAAGTAGAGCAAGAGGGAGAGAAAGAGTGACATCAGGGGCTAAAAGCCGTGTTGACGTAATCAGAATGGATAAATGAGACCCAAAGCAATTGAATTTTGGGCCCATTGCTGAGACGTACGACTAATTAATAATAAGCTCTGATTACAAGGCGCCAACTCTGCCTCTCCTACAAATCACTTATATTTTGTACAAACAATGTAAAGATATCAAGGATTTAATATCAAATTTTAATTGAAAATATACACATAAGAGTGAGTAAATGAAGGAAAAGTTTGGTTAAAAAACATTGGTGCAATATACAGATATATTAAGAATAATTTTGAGCATGTTTAAAATTTAAACTTTAACATTCATAATTTATTTTTTTAATTTTTAATTGTGATATCTTGTGCACTAAAAATATATACACACATTGAGCCTACATATATTAAATATTCAATAATGAGCAAGTTGTAACTGCAAGTGGGGGTGGCTGGATTTGTCTTTTTTCTTTTTTTAATTCATTTATAATAAACTATAAACTATAATTGTGATGATGATGGGTTGGATGAATGACAATTAGTATGAAAGTGCTAGTGAACTTTCTTGATTGCTAGCTTGAAACTATCCATAGATGCGTCAAGAAATCAAGATGAAGATTTCATTATTCCAATCAACTTTATTTTCAAACTGTGATCATCATCTTCATCTTCATTAGCATATATTCATATTATTGTAATACATTGCTTTCGAAGTGGCAGATTTATGGTGTTTAATACCACCTTATTATTGGTCAATAAAGAGCTACACCCTACTTCTGAAAGACATTTTGGATCAGATTACAGATATGTTTCACATCCAGTCTTTAACATTACTTCTTGGTTTTGTCAAAAGATAGACTAGTAGGATAGAAAATGATCATGTTGGTGACAATTTTGAATTTTCTTTGAAGTGTCTGTAACGGTCCCTATGTGCTCTGAGATGAATATCATATGGGTTTCACTAACCCCCCCCCCCCCCCAAAAAAAAAAATATATATATATATATATATATCATATGGGTTTCATGCTGAAAATTTTACAGTACTTATGGATTTCTATTCACTGAAAGATTACTTGAAACTTTTACCTTCCATTGGGCAAATGACATGGGAATCTAAGCATATCCTCTTTCATTTCCCACATGTTTTCCTTTTTATCATATAACTATTTCTTATGTCACAAAGTGTATTTCACTTTGAGGCTGGCCAAAAGATTTGAAGAGAGTGAACAATTTCCCGTTCTACTATTGGAGGATTGCTTGAAAAAAAGATCACCACTTTTTTCCATGGAAGAGAAAGAAAGAGAGTTCTAATGTCAAAATGTAAAATTGTGTTGAATTGATAGGGAAATTGTAAGTCATTACTGCGCAGAAGTTCGAGAACTTGGGTATAGATTACAAGAATTAATATCGGAGAGCTTAGGCCTGGAAAAAGATTACATAAAGAACGTTCTTGGGGAGCAAGGGCAGCATATGGCTGTGAACTATTACCCGCCATGTCCGGAGCCAGAGCTGACTTATGGATTGCCTGGACATACTGACCCCAATGCTCTTACAATTTTACTTCAAGAATTGCAAGTTGCGGGCCTTCAAGTACTGAAAGACGGTAGATGGGTTGCTGTTAATCCCCACCCAAACGCCTTTGTCATTAACATTGGAGATCAATTACAGGTAATAGCACTACTACTTTGCGTTGTGCACAATGTGAGCTTATTCATAATTATCATCATATAAATTTACAAAGGTAAGATTACTGATTTGTCTTCTAAACTACACTTTGTTTCAGTTTTCAAATTGTGTTATGATCTTTAGCTTTTGCATGCCAATAACATCGATGATTGCAGGCATTGAGTAATGGGTTTCAGTTTTCAAATTGTGTCATGATCTTTAGCTTTAGCATGCCAATAACATCGATGATTGCAGGCTTTGAGTAATGGGAGGTACAAGAGCGTGTGGCATCGGGCAGTTGTGAATGCTGACAAGGCAAGGATGTCTGTTGCTTCTTTCCTCTGCCCGTATGACCATGCCTTGATCAGCCCTGCAAAACCTCTCACAGAAGATGGATATGGAGCAGTATACAGAGATTTTACTTATGCAGAGTATTACAGTAAGTTTTGGAGCAGGAACCTGGACCAAGAACATTGTTTGGAACTTTTCGAGAACAAATAATACCAGCTCCATTGTCTGGTCCTTCGGTGCTTATTCTATCATTTTCTCGACTTGTCAGTTATTGCCTGCTTGCTGCCCGGTTAAAATGCCACGCGTCCTGGTGTAAAGAGGCACTGCTTTTATTTTACCAAAATGCAAAACTGCAGCATCACTAGAACGCCCCTTAATTATTCATGGCTGCGCACCATTTTTCGGTGGAGCATGTTGCTTTATTGCTGGCCATGACAGCCATTTTGGCAGTCTACCGTAACTTATCCATAAGTAAAACTTCCAAAATTCTGCTCATTGTGGTTTGGTTCTTGATCCACAAAGAAGCATGGAATTATTTGTTGCATTTCCATATATATTATTGTATCTAGCATGAAGGACAATATTATCTGTCATCAAATGGTTCTCTTCAGGACTACATATTATCTGTCAAAAATGATTCTTGCTGTTTGTGAATGTTCTTGTCAAATTGAGCCTAGCTAGCCACTGACAGCCTTTGCTGTCATACAGTTGAAGTTTTGCTACTGCAAAGCGAACCCGCCACCTGATTTTCTTAGGAACCAGAAGCATACTGTTGCATACTGAATATATTTGCACTCACACTCGCAGAGTTATATGTACTATCTTACTTGTGCTGCCAAATATTATTAAATTTCGTTAATAAATAAAATGTGTTGTTTCAGGAAAATAGAAGATAGAATAGGAGGTGTTAAGCACGTCGGTAAAACCTGGATATCTTGAGCATGGTAGTTTCAGAGCCCATAAAAGGCTCCATCAGAACTGAACAGAACATATGCTTTTAGCAGTTTCATACAATTTGCATGTGCAATATAGGTTAAATTGATAGTCTTAATTATATTTCACTAGAGCGACTTGATGGAGTGAATATCTCCACAAAGATCATACTCTTATCCTAGATTTCTAGTCCTCTATAAGGCAAAGAACTGCCCTCAGTTAAAGTTCTGATATTTGCTCAAGCTTCTTTTCTCTGACTCTTGGATAAAAGTGCCCTTAAAACTTTATCAGCGATGCTTCTTAAACCCATTTCCTTTCTTAATTGGTTCCCCCCCCCGAGGGTATTTTCTCCAGAATCTTTAGTGCCACTGGTCTACTTTACCTTCATCTAATTCTAATAACAATATGCAATATCTGTCGGCACATCCAGTTTAATCATCTCCGTTATTCTGATTTGTCACTATAGTTAACTACATGCAGCCAGGCATGATTTTGGTGTGGGCTACTAAGATAATTTGAAAACAATTTCCCAAGTTTCTGTAAAAGAAAATGCCGGCTTACAATGCGTATTTTTGTAATCAGCTTCTTCATGATTCGTTCTCAAAGTTGAGGCCTTATGCCTTTAAGAGACATTAATCAATACTTCCTTTCATAGTTACATTTATCAACATATAAAATGTATTTGTATAACACAAGAAGCATAAAATCTCGTTCTTATTATTTCTATGAGCAAGGGCTATATATTCCGTAAAGCTACCTTTGAGACAATCAAAGCTTAGAATCCAAAAGTAATGGTAAAGCGTGTAACCAAGACAAAGATTCAGACATTTTTGAGAAACTCCATGATGTAAGTGCCGAAAGCACAACACTTCACTTGGAAACCTTGAAATCCTGCACCCTTTGCCAGGGCCTCAAATTCCTTCTCAGTCCTCTCTTTCCCACCAGGGTTGTGAGCCAACATGATACAATCAATATGGACAACTAACTTTGTGGCAAGGCTAGGATCTGGGTAATCTGGAAGAATGCATTCGGCAACAATCACTTTTCCATTGTCTGGCAAAGCTTCATAGCACTTCCTCAAAAATTTTGAGCAGTGTTCATCGCTCCAATCATGACATATCCACTGCACGAAAACATACATGTCAAGAGCACAAATCATGGTTCGTCAGGCAAATAAAATTCTTAATACATGTTTCATCACGGTTAGTGCAACGGTTAAAAGTAAAATTGTTACAGCATTTTCCTTACTAACGAGGTTGCACCTGCATGTAGTTTGCCTAATAGAAAGAAGGAATTTCTCTGCATGGAGTTTCCTTTACTTCACAAAGGAAGTTTAGAATTAATTTGAATAACTGGAGCACTGCATTAGAATTTTGATTTATGAATTTCCAGAGCTTTCTCGCCATCCCCTACTAAATAAACAGGGAATGGGAAAAAGAAAAATCTTTACAGGCGAATGAAATACTACCTAAGTTGAATCCCTTGGGGGGGGGGGGGGGGGAGGGATAACAAGTTGAGAGTTTGTGGGGCATTCCACGTATCAAGTAGCTCCATTATTTCTGAGAAGGTTGATTCCAACTAATCAACAGAAATGGGGTAGGTAAAACAGAGTTTAATTTTCAGTTGATTCAAACTCACCTTCATGAAAATGGCATCACCTTTTGGAACACTTACAAACATGTCTCCACCAACATGCTCCACACCTACAGCCAAAACATAGTCCAATCTCATTCCAAAAATATGATAAGGAACAATGCAGTTTTGTCCACACATTGAGGAAATCAAGAAATTCATTCTATGAATATAGAAATATCAGCCCACAATCTGCTATGAATAGTCAGCAATCAACTGCTTATCTGCATTTAGCGATTCAGTTTCAAAGTGACTTCATAAATGTTTAAAACTTATTATTATAAAGACTAGTGAAGCATGGATAGAGTCATACCAGGGTAAGCTGGAGCATCCTCAATGACATGAGGCAAATCAAAGTTAATACCCTTTATGGAGGGGTGCTTGGAGATTATCATGTTAAGCGAGGCTCCAATACCACCACCAACATCAACCAGTGTTTTGAGTCCCTCAAAGCCATTATAGGTCTCAAGAATCTTCTTCATGGTAATGGTAGAGTGATCAGACATTCCCCTGTTGAAAACCTTGTTGAATCTAGGATCTGTGCCATGGTACTCAAACGCGGTCATACCATAAGCCTTGTTGAAGGGAATTCCACCTTCCAGCACTGCATCTTTCAAGTAGTACCTACAAACAGTCCAACATGCATAGTTCTCAGTCCAATCTTGATTCAAATAACATTACACTTAACATCTACATGGACTAATGGACTTCACTTGTACAAATCACATTAGTTTATTTCAGGGCCAGGGAATTTCCTCGCTTGAAATGTTGAAACTTGTATCATTCATATAGCATCCCAGTTTCAGTACATAATTTGAATCATCCATTCACATACAAAATAGCTTACACAGCATCATTTTCAAGTATTCTAAGTTATGAAGGGTCAAAGAGTACCATCAATTAGTTAGCCTGACCTACCCTTGAAAATTTTGATCAACGGTTTTGAAAATCGTGGAACAGAGAATCTGGTCCCCATCATACTGAAAGGTAGTCAATAGAAAAATTTCTGGTTTGAACTCACTGCTTCATCAGGGCATTTCTTTTTCAATTGGAATACTACTTCTTATAAACATTTAATAATGATTTTTTTTCTTCTTTTTTATTTTCAATATGTTTATGTTCCCATCATCAGCTGTATGTTGAGTACTTATTTTGTAACTTAAGTTTGACGTAGTTGAGCGAGACAAAGATGAAAAAAGAACTCAACGGGTCACATATTTTCCATATGGAGGGTAACAAACCCACCGGTCAAAGAAGATGATGAATATTCGGAAATTCTCCTATTATTGAACAGTAATATCATTTTCCATTTGAATGTTTAAATCTAAATTACGCATGGTAGGTGTTCAGTCCCAAATTTCAAGCTGTGGCCCACAAATATTGTTTATCACATTCACCTAACTATGCAATACTAGTCTAACGTATCCCGTCGTCCTGGCTTTTTTTTTTTTTTGTTTTTCATCCCCTCTTTGACACAAACGTATCTGCCCCCTGACTACCAGGATCCTAATTCCATCTTCAAGCAATTCAAATTGAAATTCTGCTTGAATTTTGAGGAGAGAAGAGGGGTAGAATCAATGGCTAGCAGTTAGCAGTTTAATTCAGTGGATCAGGAAGGCAACTAGGGTAAAAGATGGAAAATTAATCTAAGTAAATTAAATGTTTTATGAGAAAAAAGAAACAGAGAATTTTAAAGATGAGGAGCATATCTAGTTTTCAGCTTTCAATTTTCTGAAAGACTTTAAACTTGAGATACTAGTCTTGAGACTTGAGAGTGCATCATGTAACAGTCTTTGTTTTTTTGACATTTTTAAGAGAAGTGGGGCTGAAAGGGATAGAATGGAACCAGATAGACTATTACCGAGGTGCGTCGTCAATGGATGAGCACCCTTATATTTTTTTCTTTCCTAAATGGATAGACTATTACCGAGGTGGAGCGTCCTCAATGGATGAGCACCCTTATATTTTTTTCTTTCCTAAATGGATGAGCTAGGAGCTGGCATTCATTATTCAAACATCTCCACCATAATATTACGATAATCGTTTCTCTCCTCATGTAATTGGCCTCCTCCATGTAAAGTGTGAGAAGTTTAAAGTCATAAACATATGAAGCATAAATTTAAAGAAATTTCTGTGTTCCAAATTATATATGACTATACACAAATTACTCTTTTTGCATGGAAGTGTGGAACGTTTGTTATTTTTATCAATTCATTTGGGTTGAATTATACTTTACATCTGAACAGAAACGAAAGGTTAATAAAACCAACTTTATCATTACAATAAACAATGGCATGAGACAGAGAAGAGATGAAGATTTCTTTTTGGGCCATAAAATTATTGGAACTTTGGAGATTGCTAAAGATTGTAACGGTGTAAAAGGAATAGATAACAAGAAATAAGATCTAGCGCTTACCAGCTCTCCATAAGGACCTTGTCTTGATTCATGAGACTTAAGGCGGAAAGGGTGACACCATCCTCATTCTTGATCAAATATTTGCAGACAGGACCAAGACCATAAAGTCTCTCCACTTTGCCATCAGGAAGACTGCGCAAGGAACAAGTGACGACTGAGTAGCTAGCCAGAAGGCGCAAGATGCGGTCTAGCATGACAGGTGCATCAGGGTTCTTGGTGGGAAGCTGGTAAGCCACTTCTTTTGGGGATAGGAAAGCACCAGGGCCAGCTTTGGCCATGATCTCAAGCAGGTCAAGTTCTATGGCTGACTTGAGGACCATGGGAAGGACTGAGGCACTGGCCAGTTGCATGGCGAATAAGTTTGCTTCCTCATCGGAGACTTGGGTGGGAGTCATTTGGGTTTCACTGGTTGAACCCATTATTTTCTTTAGTTCGGAAAGCGTGAAACGCTGAAAAAAGTAGAGGTGTAGAGAATGAAGATATGGTCATGGTTGACAGCACAAAGTGGCATTATGTATGGTGTTATTGTCTCAACCACTTTCTACTTGGTCTCAATTTCCGCCGTACAAGTGCCAACCAGGGCAGGCCACCACCAAAAACACTGACCCCACACCCTCACCATTTCTCAAATTATTATTTTTTAACTTTTTTAACACTACTCGCCCTCCAAATTTCTTATGATTTGGTAGGTTGTACATATGCATTTGAATGCTAATTTCCTATTTCACCATCACCAATGATCTTAGAAGATCTATAAAACTAATAATACTATCGTTTTTCCCCCTTAACCCTGGGTTGGCGGCGAGAAAGGTAAATCAGAGTTGTTTCAATCTTCTGTTGAAGTAACCCGTAAGGAATCAATCATAGAGGACTATAAATTTCAATAGTTTGTGGGTTGCAATAATGGAATTTTACTCTGCTGTGATCATCTCTCAACGGCTGTCTGACAAACAAGCGAAAACAGAAAAGAACGTCATTAGTTAAATTTGACGGATGCATTTCAAACTCAAAGACTTAATTGCTGTTCTGTTTAGAGTTGGGATAAAGCCACCATATGACGTGCAAACTGATGGAGTTAGGTTCATGTTAAAAAATTGATGTAAATGTTCATGAAGAGAGAGAGAGACAGGTTCAAGTAACGTCATACCGAAACTTCCAAACATAAAAAGACAGTACAATTTCCTGGCCAGAAGAAAAAAAAAAAAAAACATTACAAATTTTAAAACTGACCATTGTTTTTTCTCGGACAAAAAAGGTATAGTGTCCAAATGCTGTTTCTGGTAACTTACTGAGTTCGGACTCCAAAAGTCAGCCCTTTCCCCAACTAGCCATTTGAATTTCAGAGACCGTTTTGTGTTCGAGAATTTGGAATTTTAAGTTATACTTATTATTAGAGTAACATTGAGTGAAATTTTATTCTTGTATTAAAATCTTATAGGTATGCATACCATTTTAGTTGAAGCTCAATATCAGACAGCAAATGAACAAAACAAAATGCAAACGCTTGCAGCTTCGACCAACTTACTTTGTTCATGTTTGAACTCTGTTGATTCTGGATCCAAATCATGTTTAAAACTCCAAATGTACTAAAAAGAAAATGGCAAATTATATATAATATTATATTACAATATATATATATAAATACATTTGTCACATAGACATTTATGTGAATAATTCTTTTAATTGAAGTATAATACTTTTTAGAAAAATAAGATAACTTTTTTTAATTACAAATTAGATAATTTTAAATTTATTCAAATATCAAAATTATTTAAATTATAATTAAAAATTAAATCAATTTAGAGATAAATTTTCTAAAATTAAAAATTTGAAAGATGAATTTTATTTTTTAATAAAGAATTTTAGTTGTTTACCAAATAACTTTATCTAAGAAATTATTTAATTATCAAAATTTTTCAAAGATGCTTAAAAATTACCAAAATTAAGTTTATAAAAATCTTTCAATAATTTTTTTTATCTTGATTTAAAATTTTATCTTTTTCAAAAATTACAAAAGACATTAAAAATTCAAACAATTTTACATAAGATTTCAAAAACTAAAAATATTTAAATAATAAGATCATTAAAACAATTATATCCATTTGAATTCTAATTATAAAATTTATATTTCAAATATATGCAAAACAGTTAATATTATCTTTGTCACTTATTATATTTACTTTAAATTTAAAAATTATCTATTCAATCCTAATTGCCACTGAAAAATTTTTCTACAAATTTAAGATTACAATTGTAAGGTGTTATACATCAATTTTTTATTTTTTCAATAACTTTTTTTTAATATATATTCTATTTTATTAGCCCTGAATTGATCCTTATTTTAAAATGACTAAACATTAAAGCTAAATAAACTTGATCAAGATTTTGAAAAAGGATTTACTTAGTATATGTTTTTAAGTTTTATATTTTGGTACTAAATAAATAATATGATTTTCAAAGCTTAAACAAACCTTTCTTTATTTTCATATTTCTCAAACTAACTTTATCTTTAAAGATTATTTATTTGAGCTTAAATGAAAGTCCAATTGTTGTTTTTAAAGTGAACTTATTCATTTTGGACTTAATACAATTTTGATAATATTGATTTTGAGAAATATATTAACTTAAGAAAGCTATTTTACAAGAATAAAGTTTTCAAACATCGAACTTGTTTTATTTTTCTGTATTAATTCACAGAGTCTTAATATTTGAATTTTATATGGTTGGAAACCTCTTTGAGTCTACTTTCTAATGGATTAAACAAAATCAAAATTCAAATTTTTTAAGAAAAGATTTTGAATTTTTACTAGACATTCTGCAGTTATAAAAAAAACTGCACAAGGTGTAACTTTGAAAATTTACTATAATTTGTACATAGTGAATTATGTGATAAACTTTATATGGATAGAAAGCCCTTTAAGTCTAGTTTCTAAATCTTCAAATGGTTTTGTGATTTGGATTTGTAAAACTTAAGTTATGATCAAATTAGTAAGTAAAGTATAAAACATGAAACTACCATCCGGCATGGACAGGATCGATCCCTTCTAGAAATGATCAATTGGTTTTCAAACAAAATGCTCCCAGAACCGAAAATCCAGAAAAGCAATCGATCTCCTACAAAATGGATCAATCGGTTAGGCTATTTTCAAAGGAAAATTGATTCAAAACATGAACCAATCGATCCCCTAAAGGCCAAAATCACTCAAACGATTATTTTATCAATGATTCAACGACTACTTTCACTTCCCAAACACTTCCAACAGCTACTTCTTCAATTTCTCTATAAATTAGGCACTCCAACACACCAAGAACATTAATGAATCAATAGAGTAAGAGCCAACAAATAATATTTTCATTCTCTCAAATAATCAAGAGTTTTTAGAACTTCAAAGTTTATATCTTTGTATTTATTGTATCCAAATTATTTTTGTTGTTCATTCATAATTTTTTTGTCTATACCACTATATACTTCAAATTAACAAAAACCCAACCTTTGAGAGGTTCTTAGAGTTTGTAAAATACTTCAAAAATTTGTATTGTGTGCTTATAAGCTTAAGGGGGATGATAACCTTTAAGAGTGTGTAGTGTTGAGTTTGTAAAACTTTGAGAAGCTTATTTGTAATTTTTAACACATAATGGATTGAAGTCTTGGTGTGGACAACCAAGAAAGAGGATGTAGGTACATTGTGGAGAAAGACCAAACCTCTATAAATTATTTTGTTTGATTTCTTTATCTTTATCTCCTTATAATTTATTACTGTTCATATTTAATTTTAAGTTTATTAATTGTTATTGTTTTCATTATATGTTCATCAGAATGACTTATTATCTTAATTTTCATTCAACTATATTGAAATCATTATTTGAAAAAAATTTAGAGAGATCCAATTCACTTCCTCTATTGGATCACTATCTAACCTATAAAGCTAATAATTACTGTTATAGTTTTTTTTTATATCTTTTTTTAAAATATATTTTATTGTAATTACAATTTCATTCTTATAAAAATTAATTTTTTTTTCAATTTAATTTTTCTTTTTTTCACATATTTTTCATATTTTCTATAACATTTTAGTCAAAATTACTAAATTGAAAAGTATGTTAATACTTTTTTATTATTTAATTTATCATTCAATAATTATATTTTTATTTTTTTAAGAAAGGTATAATTTATTTTTGTTTTATATAATTTTACAAGTGTATAAATATTACTATAAATAAAAATATTAAAAAAACATAATTTTTTTATTATTTTCAAAAAATTTTATTTTTTAATAACAAATTAATATATAAAAATTATATATATATTATAAAATTTAAAAATTTAAATATAATTTGAAAAAACTAATTTATATACATATTTATTTATTTATATTAAATAAATAAAATTATTTCATGCCCTTCGTATAATCTAATTATAACAAAGTTTACGTACACCGGTTAACCACTCATCATGAAAGAAAACAAAGGCCGAATGATAAGAAAGAGTTGGTGGGTGGGCCCAAAATGTCTGATGCTGCATCACTTACATTTACTTAAAAGCCATTGGCAGCAACTTCCTAGATTCTTGACTATATATGTGATCTATTTTCTAATGAACAGGAATCCCAATCATATGCTCAGACAAACTTCAAATTACAGTCATTAATTAGGACCCAGAATTTTCAACATTGTTTGGAAGCAGTGGAGATTAGTAATAGTGTGCTAATTATTTGGATTTTTTTGTTACATTCATTGATCACTCCTTATCTTGTTTTCTAAAGGAAAAAAAAAATGAAAGTTACCCCACTTTTTTTTTTTTAGGTTCAAATTTATATTATGCCATACAATAAAATTAGAACATCATATATCTAATCTATTGGCCTTAATTGAGATCTGACTCATTTTTATTTTACATCTGTTAGGTCCTAAGTTTTTTTTTTATAATTTTATATTTAAACTGAATCCCTCAATTTATCATTAATTAATTTTAAATTAAATATTTAACATAATATTATAGTTCAATTTCTATTAAGTTGTCTCATGTAAGGTTGTCCACATGTATGTTCTTATTGAGCTACTCATGAGGAGGAGTATTAAATGGCATTATTTTACATATTTAAGATTTTTTTTTTTAATTTTTGTGATCTTGTATATATTTAAACTGAATCATTTCATCTATTATAAATTAATTTTAAATTAAATACTTAATATTTTAAAAGCAATTAAGAATGATACAGATGTTCAATCTTCCTATTGAAATGGTCATGTTTTCAATTTGCAGATGTTTTCTACAGGAGGGGGCATTGATATCTCATCATAATATTAGAAATAAAAAAAAAAAAAATGGCATAAATCTCACCGACTACCGCGAGATGAAAAATCTGCAGCAATTGGTTGCCGGCAGAAGCTGCAAGCAACTTGATTTTGACCGCTTCTCTTTGATCCGGAGACTAAGTATTTGTCTGTTCCTCTATTGTCAACCTCTCATCACACGCAAATCATTATCGCATTATAAAAAATAAATATAGCTACGTTTTGGTCCAAACGTTAATGTCCTCACCAACCTCTCCCAACAACTCTGAAATAGTCTGCATCCTCTCTCTCTCTCTGAAGGTTCCAGGAGCGAAATTTATGTACTGGAATCATTATCTTTGCAAAATTCATGTCTGAACAGCAACAACCTTTCAACTTCATTTGCTATATAAAAAACTTGCTCCATGAGCTCACCAACGACCATCCTTAATAATGTTAGTGGTATTTAATTAATAGGCTGTGAATGATTTGGAACTTCCAATTTGAATAATACAAAGGCCAGCAGAACGTGGCACCAAATGCTAGAGGAATTGTATTCACACGTTAATTAATGGTAAACTGTGTTGTTGATCATCTAATCCTGCAGGAAACAGGTTGGTTTGATGAAGTGGGCAATGTCAGAATAAATGATTACCCCTTGATGGCTGATTCTGCTGCTTCTCACTCGCTTTATCCATTTTTCAACTAGTAAACGGAGGGCGGTTTTGTTATGTATCTCCGCTCCATCTGCTCATTTGCTAACGAATGAGATATTGCTCTCAAGATCAATTTTTTTATTGCATATTAGTGCACATTTTCTCTCTATGTAAGTGATACTTGAAAGATTTGAATCTGTTCATTTTGACATATAGTTCAAGTTTTTTTTTTATTTTCATTAATAAAAAATAATCGGAATGAACGAATTTAATTTAATTAATTCACGAAATTATCTTAAAAGATCGCATAATTTTATGTAAAATTAAAATGTAAAAGTTTTCCAACTATTAAAAGAAAAGTTTGGTTTTCAAGAGATTCGGGCCCAAAGTGAATGGGAATTTTTTTTTTTTTTATTTTCACTGGAATCGATCCACTTATGAACTTGGGCTTAGTGATGGCAATGTAGATATCTATATGGGCTTTATATTGCCATATGGTGGATTGAATTGAATCATCCAAAATATTTATTTCGATTCAAAGGAAATTTACGAACACAAAAGGGGGAAAGAAATTAGACTATTAAAACGACGGGGTTTTATCATTTTTCCCCGAGGTTATATTTGGGGTGGCCAACGGTTCTTTTTCAAATTCGGTGTTTCAAGATTCAAGCTCCAAAACAGCGGGATAACGATAAGCGATCAGGCTAGGGTTAAGATTAATGGCAAGGCGACCAAAACCGAAGAGAAGTGCAACAATGGCGGAAAGGGTAGTGAAAGAGATATCACCTTCATCGGCAAAGAAAGATACGAGGTTAAAAAACCTGGCATGTAAACAGGAGGAGGAAGAGCCAGGGGATGGGAGTCCCCTGAGACCCATATTTTGTCTGAAAAAGAACGTGGACATGAAGCGCATTGAGGAGATGGAGGATTGCTTTATTCTTGAATTTAACCCTTTTGATTCTGTTGACATTGCCACCAAGGACAGCGATGATGTTGATATTTCCGTCGTCGCTGAGAAGGGCCAGGTTTTTTTTTTCTCCATTTCTTTTGTTATATGTTTTTCTTTGAATTCAAGTCCTTGCAACCGTGTTTTTCTTTAGTTGCTGAGGAAATTTACACTTATTAGAGTAAAAAGGGTGTGTATGAATTATAACCTGAGTCTACGAATTCATTAGGGTCGGCATAGATAGAGGATCAATCAGGGGGAGGATGTATTAGGTAGGGTCCAAAAACCCTTCACCGCTAAAAAAAAAAAAATTTGTTTGGAATTCGACAAAAGCTTAAAAGGTAGTTTAATTTAGTTCTCTTATTGCTCTATTACCTAGAATGAACCCAGAAAAGTGGGTTATTTCCTAACAACAATGCTCTTTTATGTTCATCTTGATGTTGGTTAGGTGGCTTGCAGAGATTATCCACATTCAAGACATCTTTGCCTGCAATATCCCTTTGATACTACAACTCATGAGAGACATTGTGACCTGGTATGTGAAAAAGTTCATTTACTTTAATGTTGGATTAACTTGTTGTGGTCGGAGCATTGGGATTTAATTTAAGAATTATAATAATTTGGTTTTTTCAATGCAGTGTTACTGTTATGTTTGTGATTCAGCTGCTCCATGTGAGTGTTGGATGACACACTGTCATGCTTCAGAGCATGTTGAGGATTGGAAGTCTCAAAGGAATTTGAGGATACAGAAAGTTCGGCCCGGAAATTATGAAGAAGCTCCCCATTCTATGCCTAGGTTCCTCGAACATACAGCCTTTTGTTGATGTCTTGTAGCAGTTAATACCGGACACTCGAAAGAAAAGTGATTAGTTTTGCCATCACTTGGTCAAACTCATGCTCAGAGTTTGGTTTTTTGCCTTTTGGACGCTTGAAATAGGCTTCTAATATGTCATGAAAGCTAACGTTTAAACTCTAAACAGGGATGTGTACTAGTTTAAGTGGTTTAGCTTGTTTTATTTGTAAGGATAGATAGAATCATTTGTCAAGTGAATGAAATATAAGTATTCAGTTTGAATGAAGAAATTTTGTATTTAAATTGTGTTTGAAGAGCACAAACTTTATTTCTTTAACACTAAGCTTGAAAGTTGTTCTCTCTGCTTAGGTCTACTTACTGCTGCCATATTTATTAGAAACCAGGGAAAAGAAGTTGATTGCATTATACCTATAGACCAAGAGGTCTGGTTACACTTGCACAGAAGTTCTTTCCGCAGAGATCCTTTCAAATTTAAACCAGGTGTTGTTATTCTTGAACACTTTGACAGGCTGTTGACATGCTCAAGATTTGATGTTTTCTTGTGGGCAAAATCTTTGTCCCATGAAGTTCGGAGCAATTTAAGTAAAAGGGCTACAATCGTGACGATTTATGCCATTGACTCAATAAAATGAAAGAGCTAAAATTGCCATTGCACCCCCCCCCCCCACCCAATCTATCAAAAATGATATACCTACAAAGCATTTCCAAGGTTAGCTGGCTATGTTATTTTTGGGTCGGGCCTCGATCGTGTGTCGAGAACTGGCAGTAGGGTCCCCAAAATGGCCTTAAAGGTGGCCCAATAAAGGAGAAACCCTTATTACCAGAAACCAAACTCCACACAAGGTTAAAGCCGCTGGAGAGCCGTAGCCAATGGGAATGTATCTGATTATCTTTTTTATCTTTTCCGCTAGTCGGCAAAACCCTATCCAACGAAAATAAGCATGTCTCCAGCTACTGCGGTTGAAGCTGCCCAGCCTGAGACTGAGCAGGTTTCTTGTACAGAGGAAACCAAGAAGCAGCCTCAGGTTTCCCCCCTCATTTCACTTTTTTACCCTTTCCTTTTCTTTCTTTAAAGCATGTGTTAATAAGGTATCGTTTGCAGAGCGAGGAGGAGGCTGTGGTTGAGGACTTCAAGGAAGATGATAAAGAAGATGATGATGATGATGACGAGGATGACGATGACGATGATAAGGAAGAGGGTGCCCAAGGTTTCTCTCTTTTATTTTTACTTTCCCCTCTGGTTGTTACTTAATTCATTTCCTTTTTTCTTCTCTTTGTTTGGATTGTGTACCAGATTTCGAAACACATTTTTTTACTGAAAACTTGGTTTGGCTTCAAATCTTTGTTTTATTTCAGTATTAAATACTGTTATAGTGATTTGATTGGTATTTTTATGAATTAGTGGAATTTTGCACTGTCATTCTTAAAATTTCAGTTTGGTGTTTACTTATCTTCAAGTATGAAATGCACTTATTTAAAATTGTCTGGCGGCTTCTAAATTTCATGGTTAGAAGTCCATCTTTTGATCTGTTGATTTCTGCTTTCTGGTTCCCAACTAGTACATCCTCTAGAATGGGATTTCATTATAGTACCTCCTGCATAGCTTGGCAAGCTTGCTACTCAGAATCTTCAGAATTAGAATCAGTCTTCTGGTGCATACGACTTTGTTAGCTTTGAGTAGCTTAAATCTCCTGTTGGCGTGCAATTACTTGCAAGTTGCAACGCGATATTTCTTTGGCTATCACGCTACATGTACTTGGTGTTATTTCTGACCTTTTTTGGGTAATTGTCTTATTCAAAGTTAATTGTTTTATATTTCGATACAGCCCTTAAAGTTGGCGTGGAATATTGGTTGCAGGTGCTAATGGAAGTTCAAAGCAAAGCAGAAGTGAGAAGAAGAGTCGGAAGGCGATGTTAAAGTTGGGCATGAAACCTGTTACTGGTGTAAGCAGGATCACCATTAAGAGAACCAAGAATGTACGAATTCTTTGATTTTCTTTTCAAGTAGTTGAACTACCTGATGAATGGGAATATAACCTAATTTCTCTTGGATTCAGATACTATTTTTCATCTCAAAACCTGATGTCTTCAAGAGCCCAAATTCTGAGACCTATGTCATTTTTGGTGAGGCTAAGATAGAGGATTTGAGCTCTCAGCTACAGACACAAGCTGCCCAGCAATTCAGGATGCCTGACATGGGATCTGTGATGGCAAAATCAGACACTTCTACTGCAGCTGCTGGAGTACCAGCTGATGAGGAAGAGGAAGAAATTGATGAGACTGGGGTAGAGCCTAGGGACATTGACTTGGTCATGACACAAGCTGGGGTATCGAGGAACAAGGCTGTCACGGCTCTCAAGACTCACAATGGGGACATTGTTAGTGCTATTATGGAGCTCACCACCTAGGTCGTCTCTGTTGTCTTATCGTGCGCTCTCACAGACTGTCAATGAGTTCCTGGGACTATTATCAACATTTTAGTTGTAGTTGAGCTAGCTTACCATCTATTCGGTGGCTAGATTATCCTTTCAATTTTTTTTTTCAAATTTTAGACAATTTTCTCACAACTCCTGATCATCATCTCTGTGACTGATTGCTTCCTTACCCCTTTCTATAAGGAATTTTTTTCATCTTGATTAAACTGGTTTTTGGCTATTGAGAACTTGGAGCAATTGAATTCATGTTTAATTTGATGTTGAGGTCATTAGAGATTGAGTACTTTGGTCCCTACACTTTGCTGCAAGCTTATGGCAAAAGGGAAATTTGGGCAAAAAGGATGTCAAAGTGAAAGGGCATAAGAAGCAAAAGATTAGTTGCACTATAATGTATAGTGAATCAAGTTTGTTGGTTACTGGTTAATTTGATACCGTCTATATTATTATGACTCTTTGTAAGCGAGATGCTGGTCCTACCAAAAGAACCAAAAAACACTTACGCACAGAGCGGTTTGCCTGGATAAAGAAGCAAGATCTTCTATTCTGAATCCGAGGAAGGTATTCCTTATCATCATCTTATTCATCACTACCAGTAATCATATATGTAACTCCACGGAGCTCTTAAAACCCAGCAGTTGCAGCCACCTGTCCAACTCACCTACCAGTTTCACATTCCGACATCCTTGGATGTCAAGGTGGGTGAGGGCTTTATGTCACGGACTTAAGGAAGAGTCTTGAATCTCACATCGAACATAATAGGAGGATCATTGGAGTATAAAAGGATTCACACCATCTTCGTCTTGTGAGGTGTCTTTTGTAGGACAAAATCGTGAGGTCAAGGGGGTCAGAGCGGACAATACCTCACAAGGGTGTGAACCGTGGCAGGAAGGTTGATCTGAGACGCCGGAAGGGTGAATGCCCGGGTCCCGGAGCCGTACGGGTTCGGAGCTTGAGTCTCGACCTGTGATAAGTGGTATCAAAGCCAACCCTAAACCGTTCGATTCACGCCAAGCACTTCGAGGGAAGTAGGCAGAGTGGCCTATCTTCGTGACGAAGGCGTCACGAGGTTGGGTGCGGAAGAATGTCACGGACCTAAGGAAGAGTCATGAATCCCACATCGAACATAATAGGAAGGTCACTAGGGTATAAAAGGGTTCACACCACCTCCGCCTTGTGAGGCGCCTTTTGTAGGATAAAACCGTGAGGTCAGGGGGGGCCAGAACGGATAATACTTCACAAAGGTGTGAATCGTGGCGGTCAGGCTGATTCGGGACGTGAGAAGGGTGAATGCTTGGGTCTCAGAGCCGCGCGAGTTCGGAGCTTAAGTCTCGACCCGTAACAAGTGGTATCAGAGCCAGTCCTAAACCGTTCGATCCACGCTAAGCACCTCGAGGGAGGTAGGCAGGGTGGCCAGCTTTCGTGACGAAGGCGTCACGAGGTTAGGTGGAGGAGAATGTCACGGACCTAAGGAGAGTCTTGAATCTCACATCGAACATAATAGGAGGCTCATTGGGGTATATAAGGGTTTATACTAACTCCGTCTTGTGAGGCACCTTTTGTAAGACAAAATCGTTACAAACCGTGAGGCCAGGGGACCAGAGCGGATAATATCTCACAAGGGTGTGAACCATGATAGGAAGGTTGATCTGGGATGCCGAAAAGGTGAATATCCGGGTCTCGAAGTCACACGGGTTCGGAACTTGAGTCTCGACTTGTTGGCAAGGATGGCACCAAGACCAAAGTCACCAAAACAGCCAAAACCAAGCTGAAGATGCTGGAGCAATGGCATTGTATCAGCTATGACCATTGCCTTACGATCATCGAGCTTTGATGTGCTTGCAAACCTCTCCAACTCTGGCGGGGGCATATTTCTCTTCAACTGAATCAAGGATTTGCAGGTCTTCCCAATGCTTCAATGCGTACGTGAGTAATTTCCGAACAATAACTGCTATCCAGGACAGTCAGGTTTGCAAGTGATTCTGCAACTTTCCACTATCTTGTCCTTAAAGGAAAGTAATGGAAACAGAAAAACCATCTTTTTTCTATCGATAAATTTTTAATTTAAAAGAAAAAAAAAGAAAACTCAATAACTTTTGATTTTGTTTTATAATTCTCATTTTTTTAATATTTTAATTTAGGAGAAAAATTAAAGAAAGGAAAGTTAAAATAATTTTATTTTTATAAAAAGATTATTATATTTATTATTTTATTAATATTAAAAACTAAAAAAAAACTTAATCATATCACAATTTTCTTGTAATTTTTTCAAAACCATTTTTTTTTTCAAGTTTCACATTTTTTTTTCAATATAAAAATTTTTTATAATTTTTTGGTAATTTGATTTTGATGAATGATTGAATATAAATAAATATATTTTTTGAGTTTATAAGATGTAATATTTTTATGTGATTGTATTTTTATATTTAATAGCTTTTATATGAATACATCACCAAAGTTATAGTGTGTTGAAATTTTGTCATGATAAAAAAATTTATCAATGGATGTTTGTAAAATATTTTTTTGTTTCATTTGACTAAAAATCATTGATATAATAACAATTATGAGATCATACAAGATAACAAATATTTCATGATTCAAGGGTGTTTTAAAATCATAGACAATAAACGTTTATAATTTAAAAAAATTATTATAATGAATCATTTTTTTCACTATTTATCCAAATAATGGGTATTAAAATTCTTTTACTTTTTTTTTTATTAATTTTAATTATACAAATAAAGATATTTTTTTTCTTTAAAAAACTTTACTTTCTTTTCTTTTTTTTTTTTATAAATATTTATCCAAACATTATATAAGGTAATTAATGAGATTGTATGATAACAATTAGCCAGCCATTCATCAATGTAACATGGCTATATGATTCCTTTGACGATCAAAATTTGCTTTCTTACCCTGTTTTTGTTAAAATGAAAAAGAAATGTATGGAAAAATGAACTTTTTGTTTTCACAAAAAAAAAAAGAAAATTTTAAAGAAAATGTATGAAGATAAGGAATGACAGTAATAAAAAGAGTAGCAGTACCAGTTAGCTGCTAAAGCGAAGACAGCGTCACCAAGGCGGAAGGCAGAGAGGCAGTGGAATGTGCCCGTGCTATGACGGACGAGCTTCCTGACGGCGGAATTGACATTTTCTACTGGGAGGTAGCGGCAGCGGCTTGGATGTCAGTTTTGGCCCCGTAGAATGGACCCCATACACAAGCCATACGGGACTTGCAGACCAAAGAGGCGGTTGCCACCCTCTGCTTCGCTGGGAGTTCTGACAATTACGAGAGCCAACTCATCGTTACATAGCCTATAGATAAATTAACAAAGATTTATTTTTTAAAAAATTATTATTAGTGAGTTGACATATTTCACTGATAGTATATAAAATGTTCATATAAAATTTTGAAAATTTTATTATAAAAGTAAACATGTGCTATTTTTTTTTTTGGGTGTTTTATTTATGCGGAGTTCTGTTTCAATGACGCTATTATCCAAAATGTGCAATTGCAACATCCAAAAGTAGTGGGGCAGTTTCCTTGCAATAGCTGATAGATGATAATATGGCTGTCATTTTCCATCGATAATCTATTTTACCATCCGACATGCTTTGGTATAATCGGAATTATTGGTGCTTTTAAGTTTTAAGCTCCAATAAAAGTTTCACAATCAAACCATTTCCTTTTTCTAGTGCAAATTAACAGAGTTGATTACTTTTAAGTACTCCATCACGCGTTTGATTCCCAATCCCATCTCTAGCTGTTGATCACCCTACAGTTGGCCCGAATCTCTCCTACTGTTCCTGTCAAGACATCAAGGTGGCCCATCTTCACCATCGCTGCTGCAAATTTGGCCTTCCACTCCATAGGATTCCTTGCATTCTGAGCCACTTGGTTTGCTGTAGCCGGGCTTGTCAGCAGAGTTTGGTCCGACGTGAACAAGCCCCTGTTAGCTAGAATATCAACGTAGTAACTTGCGTCGGTGATGCTTGAACTAGAAGTCATTGGCACCACCCGGTTAGGATTCGTGCTACCCTGTGGGCATTGCTGCTTCAACATAGCAGCATACCTAGGATCTAAACTTGGATCCTGCATCGATGTCCCACTGAAATTGTATAATCTGTCACTGAATGAACTGCAGTGAGATCGCCCAATGGTGTGTCCTCCTGTTGACCATTGAACTATTTGATTCAGAAGATTTTCAATATAGCATCAATATATGCTTTAATTAGTTGAATCCAATCCTGAAACGAAGTTTCAGGATATCTGTAACTGTTACCCGAGAGTGTAACCATTTCCTCTTGTGTGAAGCCCTTATTTGCAAACATCTGAGTCAGTTGGTTGACATTAAATGTTGGGGGAGGTAGATTTCCTATTATCTCGGAGGCAAGTGAAGTTCTGCCATCTCTTCTTCCAGCAGGGACATCATAGCCTAGTCCTCCGGTCTGCATGAAAATTTTACAAGACAAAATAAGTGTCACAAATTTTAGCAATGTTGCTTAATCAAGTAGTTCAAACTTTCTAGAGATCATCAACCCCAAGTAAAACTATGCGTGCTTACTATCTCTATGCTGTCCCTTGCTGCAAATGCAACTATGTCAGCGCAGGAAACTACTCCTTTACAAACTGCTTCCAATCTAGCCTTTGCGTTGTCTATGACTTCATACCCTCGTAAACTTGGGTTATTGGCAAAGGAGTCTTTCTCCGCTGTGCTGGAGGGAGTGGAATCGAGGAGTATTGATGCATCACAACCCTATAATACAGATACAAGTGAATTAGTCTAATTTTGTATAGAAAGATTTAACGGCTATACTCTCTTAGTATGTAACCAGGGAATTGTCCAGGGTGATGTTATTGGCTATTTGATTCGTTAAGTATTTTCATAAAGGAAGCTTTGCATATAGTTAAGTCACCTAAATCAGAAGCTAAAAGCAAGTGATTCATCTCACTCACCCTAACAAAGCAGTCATGAAAATGCATTCTCATGAGACCAGCAGCTACTCCTCTATCTCTAATAAACCCTTTCCTCACCTCGTCCTTGACAATGAATTCTACCAGGCTGCACGTATCTTTGTAAAATCCTATTTGAAGCTGAGAATAAACACTCTGAAGAAACAAAACCACAGCCAAAATCGCAGAGACTTGAGTTAGCTTCCTTGGACTCATCTTTATCATCTCTAATAGATTTTTAATGCTTCAATGCTCCCAACATATCACAGCTACTTCTATCTGAAGAAAAATGATACTATAATTCTCAGGGTTAAATAATCATGATTAGTTGCTTGTCTTGAATGTTAAAATAGTGTCATCTGAGGAGGCAATGCTCTGGAATGTCATTGTCAATTGAGGGGCTGAACATTATTGGAACTTTTGGGAAATCGGGAGAAACGACAACCGGAGTGGGTTTGGTGGGAATTGGACATTATATTTTTGTTGTTTAATGTGATAAAGGCAATTAGCAGGATTCACGGGAGAAAGGGATTAAATCCTAGTTAAAGATCAATAGTTTGACTTGAATGCAAGAAAATCCAACTAGAGTTGTTACTCAGTTATGTATCTTCTATATAGCTTTTGGACGTGCATACGTAAGAAATGATCAGATACAATGGTTCCTTATTGTAGTTTCTGCAGCTACAATAATGATTCATTACTCTAGTGTGTTATATATCTTCTATATAGCGTCTGAAGCTAGATCATCTTCAAACAAATTTATGAAAAGCCAGTGTGTTGCAACAAATTTACTTATGTTCATATAGTTTGATGCGGCACCAAGAATTATGCACGATGAGTTTTGTTTTGATTTTAACAGAATGATGTTATAACATAAGCCTTGATTCACACTCCATGCATGCACAGCAGCTGTTAATCTAAATATGCAGTGGCATCCTGTAAATTCTGCCTTTCAATGGACCAATACCATGATGAACAGCCAGAGACCACTTCACACAAGAATACATTTGCCAGCTAGCAAATACGAAACCAAGTAGAATTTAAAATCTTTAAGGAGAGGGTTACCCAAATCAAACAAGAAAATAAGTTTTGACAGCTTTTTACAAGGTTGGAGAGCAGTTATGTTCTGAGTAACTCACAGTTGGTCTTCCACACACTTTATACAAATGCTTAAGGGGAGACAAGATACCATTCACCATAGGATAACAGCGTGGACTAAATATAGATTCAACTGTTCTGACCCGAAAGCTCCTCCTTCAACACATGTTCCCAGTCTGAGGAAAAGCTGTCATACCAACCTGCAGAGAGTTGATTTCCAGGCCTGGTGCCCCCAGGAGGGTGAATGGTGCAGTCGGGCTGGACACATAGATGAAAATCCTTCACAACTAACTGTTCTCCAGCGTGGTTAGCCAATTGGTGCTGTGAAACTAATTCCAGATTAACACCTGATATTCCATCCTCTGCTGTGTCTTTATCAATAGGCTTTTGCTTTCTTTTTCCTGCAAATCCAACATCAACAACCTCTGGCAGTAGCTTGCTTTCCATCTCATTAGAATCCAAATCGTCAACACCACGGTTTTTCAGAATATCGAACCTAGCCATGACAGATGCTTCAACATCATCTGTACGGCTGGCTGTTCCTGGTACAGGGGAGTTTAGGGATGGCAGGCCTGGTGTTGAGCTATCCTTTACTTCAGTTGCCAATTTGTCAACCTCATTCAAATCCCAAGAAAGCTTGGAGCTGGAGAGTTCATCCAGATCTCCAGTATGAACAGAATTTGAATCGTTAAGCCGCTGTTTTAGTACATGAAATCTGGCTGTTATATCATCAGTATGGTAGCTGGAGCTTTTGATGGGAGAATTTTGGTTAGAAACAGCAGAGGTTGGTCCACTCTCAGCTACTGCTGTTAATTTCTTATTCCATATTTTGTCCTCATCTGGTGCGTCTTCTGACAAATCTAAAGCAAAATAACAGGTATGAACCTTGTATCAGATAGCCAAGGATTTCTAGCAGAAATTTCTAAAGCTTTTGTTGTGAACAAGAAATTATCATATGAGGGTAAAGAAAAATTTTAACCTTTTTCAGATTCCAATTTGCATTTTTCTATTTCAACCTTCATGTTATTAAAGCGAGCCATGCAATTGATGGAACATAAAGCAGCTTCAGCCTCAAGCCATAGATTCTTATACAAGAGAACTTGTGGGTGTGCCTCTTCCTTTTCATGAAAATTCTCAATAAGAACCTTCTTTATAGCCTGCAAATCATCAACCAAGAGAAATAGAATATAATTGTGCTTTAAATTTCATTTCTTTTTCCTTCCTACCAAAGAAAGACAACTGATGAATCGAAACATTATCTATCACAGTACAGAAAAAGAATCAAATAAGCAAATACCTGGGTCATCTTATCATTTTTCACTTTTATGTCTGTGCCACTCTTGACAGAAACGAAATCAGAACATCTCTCATCTTTCTTACCAGAATGGTTCCTTTTCTCTTGTACATGCTGATTCAGAACATCACTAGCTGCCACCTGGGGCCTTCCTTTACTTGTTCCCTAAGAAGAAAATTTTCAGCTCAGTGATTAAACAAAAAAGCATTTCCATCAAACTTTTCCGAAGGAATAACCGTAATAGCAACGAGAAACACAATCTAGCATTTCAAATTTCCAACAGTTAATTACAAATCAATTAGACAAGACAAAGAAAATAAAAATAGGGAAGCATACCTCATGAAGCTCCCCAAAAACTGATTCTAGTCCAATATTTTTTGACATGCATGCATCAAGATTGTTGATTACTTTTTCAAGGGACTTGAGATCTTCTTCCTTTAATTCACATGTCTCATTGGAGCAGTGATACAGAAGCAATTCTGACAGGTTATGCATTGTATCTACTAGAACACTGATGCGGCTATTTGAAACTGGTTCTTTGCCTACACATTTAGAATGCTTAGTAGAAACATTTTCTACAGAGGATGGCAAACTCGAGAGATTTTTTACAGCATGGCATGACATATGAGATGAACGACAGCCTGAGACATCATTTGTCATCATCTCAAGATCTGCAACACCAGTCTCAGATATGTGCAAATTTTTAGAAGCAAATCTACCTTCTGTAAGACTATGTTGAATGGTGCAAGATGGCTTCTCAACCTCATCCAATGACTTGTTGAAGAAGACATAATCTTTCTGCTGTTCACTTGCATCATCAGAGGATTTCATCTCACAGGCAGAACTTGTTTTTTTGTGATAGGATCCTGCCTTCCCAGCACCAGGTTGATGTTCTCTACATGACGGGATAGAGACTGAAGGCAATTTCAGAGAAGAGACTGAACTATCTTCCACATTCCCATTTTCAACCGTCATCCTAATTTCACTTGGTTTTGCGGAAGGAAGTTTAACGACGTTAGCAGAATTTATAGGGATAAATTTAAGTGCTTGACCATTTGAACCATCCCATGCATCAAGTTTCTTTAAAAGCTGCACAGAAACAGGTTCAGAAGATCCAAAAGGGGAATTTTGAGAAGCTGGAGCTCCTCTCCAGCAAGGTGAGTCAACAGGAGGGTTGTAATGATCTAAACTCTCTAAAGAATTCTCCACAGCATCGACTGGTTCACTATTATCAAGTGCCAAACTGCAATTATCAGGACTAATATGAGAAAGAGTAACTCCAGATTTTGCTCTGAACAAATGATCAGAGGCATCCTTAAAAGTCATATTTGATGTTGAACGCTTTTCAGTCTCCGTTGCTGATGATTCCCCAGACAAATAACAATTTCCACCAAGGTGAAAGCTGAGTTGACTTGGGTCAAACTCATATTTGCTACCAGAGTTTAACAAATAATGAGGTTCCTCCACATTAGAGGGATTGTTGCCAGTCAAATTTGTATCAGTTTCATTGATGCCAGGATTAACATTTTTGAATGAAACAGTATTGGATGCTGAAGGGCAGGCATCAACAGCTGGTGGTCTAATAACAATAGCAGGTGAAGAATTCATGGCAGGTATACTATCACTCGGAGTAGTACCGTGCTGTTTCACAGGTTTCTCATATGGAGTTCCAAATGGCACTTGATTGTTCTTGCAATTTACTAGATTTAAGGGAGGTACCTGCATATCAGCTTCAGGAAGTGCTGAACTGGACCCCATAACTGATGTCTTCAAGTAATCCATAGGCATGTATGAAAGATTTTGCCCCAGGACAGGGTTATAATCTAGTTTTTCTATACTAGGAGGTCCAACTTGCTCTTCCCTTCCTAATGAATAAATATTTTGTGAAGTTTCTTCACATGTCTTTAGGCTTTTGGAGGGATGAGCTCCTGCAATGGGAGACAAAAGGAAGAAAATGGATTATGTGACATCCCACCTGACCTTTCTATATATTATCCTCTAGCTCCCCCTTCGCACATGCAGCTCTTCCCAAAAATTGAATTTGACAATCCAAAAGTACATATGGTTAGAAAGTGAGGTGGAGTAAAGAAAGAGTGAAGATGCATTTTCCTACAATCGTTGTGATCATAGCAAAACAATAAAAGGAATTGAATTTGCAACAAGCAAAGTGGTTAGTACTCTTTTTTCATTTTTGTGTAATAATGCAGGGTGAGAGAATAAAGACATCACAAATTTTTGTATAGATCAGTCCTGGCTCTGGGGAAAAATGCATGAGTCAGCTATCCAGCTTTCAAATGCATGTAAAGACCATGATCAATAACAATAATAAACAGGAGGCGGAAAAGGGAAGAAAATATCATCAGACAATATATGAATAAAAGAGAAAATTAACAGTCATGCCAGCCAAGAGAACCCTAAATCAAGCAGATTAATATGTTTGAGTTTTAACAATAAGAAGGGATAATTCCAGCGTGTCACTTCGACAATGGTCTATGTGCAGGTAAGCCTTATCAGTTATCTCAGAAAAATTACTGCAGACAAGATATGATCAGCCATCAAGAGCTTAAGGGGGTTGGGGGGAGGGGAATACCTGAATTGAAATATTTTATCATGTACACAAAGTGCATTTGATCACTGAAATTCTGCACATGGGATACACAAGACAAAAAGGAAAGTAACGGAAATGCAAGAACCATGTAGAGAGCAGAGACAAATACAATAGCAATAATAAGAAAGCAAAAAAGAAACAAACTTCAGGAACAAGTTTACCTAAAACCAGCATTGTATATATGATCGAAAGAAAAGAGAAAACTTACCAAGGTTGATATGATCCGCATAAATAGATGAAGGAGCTACATTCGTCTCCTTCGAATAAAAACTCCCACCAAGCTGAGCCGGCTTCCCTTTCTCCCAATCCCACAAGCCACCACCCCATTGAGCCGTATGGTCCAGGCCAGACAAGTTCTGCTCATTGAAAGGTGGCACATGAAGGGATGGTGAGACATAGGAAGGATAATAGGTTTTGGGTTCAAAAAGATCCGAATTTTGGTTATAGGAAGGAGTGGGAATTGGGTCCAAATCCAACTGAGGGAATTGAGCTGGTTGGGGTGAATTAAAAGTGTAAGGATTAGTATCAACCCAATTCAAGGGTTCACCCAAATCAACAAGTGGGTTGGCAGTAGGTTTTGTGGTGGACCGGTCGACGGTGAAAGGTGGAGCTAAAGCTGATAAATTTGAAGATCCTCCTCCATGAGCGCTCCCACCATAAGACCCAAATCCCATCATCGTGTTTTATCTCACAAACTCAAGACTTAGAAGACCTAATCGTAAACCCAAAGAACAAAAGGTTCGACTTCTGCAACAACCGACAACAGCTTTTTCAGTTTTCAGACAAAGAACAATTTTGGCATCAAACTTTGTATCCACAAGAAAAAGTAAACACAGTAAAAATCATCATAGTTATCATCGGTTTGATTGATCATACCAACGGAGACGAAAAGCGAAGACCTGAAGCCAAAGACCCTAGTTTTAGAAGTGAGACTCAATTGGCATCAACATCATCATCCTTAGCTCCGTCACTTGGAGTTTGGAGAGACGTGAATTAGGTGTTGCACGAGTCTTGGTTTTTTGGGATTATTGCCTCTTGTCCTTCAAGTTTACGTTAATTTTCCAAAAGGCCCTTTACAGCCTGTTTTGCAAAACGATTTCTGAATCATTTCCTAATTTCTAATATTCTCTTTTTACTAATTCTGAGATGAATCGTTATCATTTTTACTTTATGCTCTAAACAAGGCACGTAAGAGCGAAAACTTAAAACAAGATACGAACCGGTTGTTACATAAAAAGGAAATAGTTTAAATTTATTAGTATTAGTAGTAAATTAAGTAACAAATAACAATAATATTTTCTTTTGGATAAAAAATTATTATTTTTTCTGTGTTATTATTTTTTTTCATCTTTTTGTTTTATGTTCCAAAATTATATTTTATTTCTTTTTTAATATCTAAAACCTTACTTTTTATATTTTAAAATTATGTTTTATGATTTTTTTTTTATTTTTCATCATTAAAAATCATGAAATTTTAATTTTATTTAAAAATTATATTTTAATATTAAATATATTAAAGTCAAAGTTATTTTTTTAACTCTTTAAAAATCAATACATGATAAATATTTTGAGATAAAAGGAGTAAATTCATAAGAAATTAATAATGAAAAGTTAGAACTGGACACTGTATTTACTAACATGTGAAAGGTTTATTTAGAATGAAGTTAAAAAGTGTTTATAAAAAATTAAGTTTTTTTATTAAATAATAATTTAAAATTTAATTCAATTGATTCATATAATCACTTTTAAAAAATAATATTTAATAATTTTAAATTTTAAATTTTAATATTTGCATTTTTTTTATTTTTAGATTACCATATTTTTATAAAAAATTTAATATTGAGAGAAAAATTAATAAAATAGACAATAATGGAGATTATTGTATACTAAAATAAATAAAATAATTTATTAATTTATTAATCTAATAAAATAATTTATTAATAATATAGATTTATTGCCAATAAACACAAATTTTGTTACCAATTTGAACTTAATCTAACTTATATGGCTAATATACTAAAGGCTTAAATATGAAAAAAAAAGCCATTGAAGTATTAAAAAAATCTAACTAAATAAGCACCATAACTTTTATTTTTTATTATTTAAGCCTTTTTCACCCTTAAATTAATGACATCTTAGCATATTTTAATATATGTAAATAATCTCGTGACAAAAAATATACAAATATGTAAATATAAGAAAATTAAAAAAGATATTCTAATAAAAAATTTTATTAATTGATACTATAATAAGAAATGCTTATTAAAGACATAATAATAATAATAATAATAATAATAATAATAATAATAATATTGAAATGTCTATATTTATAAGAAAATTAATAAAAAATAATTAAATTTTCAAAATCATGATTGCCAATAATTAGTAAAATATATATATGTAAAATTAATAAAAAGAAAATATCTATATTTATTTGGAAATTATAAAAATGATTTTAATTTTAATTTTATTAATTTTCATATATATATAATTTTTTATTAATTTTATACATAGACATTTTCTTTTTATTAATAAATAATAATTATTTAATATATTTATTAAAACTACATGTACATTGAAAATATTATTATTTGATACCATGAAAAAAAAATAATTAGTGAAAAGAACATATGTAAAATTAACAAAAAATAAATAAAATTACTTATATGACCTTTAATGTACATATTATTTGACTAAATACACATATGTTTTATTTATATGTATACATGACAATCACTTATAATTTTGAGCTAATACTCGTTGAATATTAAGGTCATAAAAGTAATTTTATTTTTATTAATTTATTTATTAGTATTATTTCAAGTTTACGTTAATTTTCCAAAAGTTCCTACAGTTTGTTTCGCAAAACGATTTCTGAATCCTTTTCTAATTTCCAATTTTCCTTTTTTCTTTTTCTGAGATGAATCGTTATATTTTTAAATAAGACACGTAAAAGTGAAAACTTAAAACAAGATATGAACTGATAGTAACAGAAACCCTATTTTCATAGAAAGGAAATAGTATAAATTTATTAGTCGTAAATTAAGTATGAATTAGTCTATTTGGTAACGAAAAAACAATAATACTTTCTTTTGGATGAAAAATTAGTATTTGGTTATAATAAATTAACAACGAATGGCTAGAACTGTAGGCTGCATCTATCAACAACTTATAGGTTCTTTAGAGTGAGGTTAGGATTTTTTATCGAGTAGCAACCTAATAATAACGAGGGTAATTTGAAATTTAGTTAAATTGATTTATATAGCGATTTTTAAAATATAATATGTAATAATTTTAAATTTTTTTATTTTTAAATTATGACATTTTTTACAAAAAAAAAATTAATATTGAGAGAAAAAAATAATAAAATAGATAAAATCCTTGTTGAGCGCCGTATATCTTAAAAATTTTTAAATTTATTAATAATGGAGATTTATTGCCAGCAAACACAATTTGTTACCGATTTGAACTTAATCTAGGTTACATCACTAATATACTAAAGGGCATAAATATGAAAAAAGCCATTTATTAAAAATTGTTAGCTTAAAGACTTGAATTAGATTAAAATAGTATAAATTAGTTGATTATAAATTGTCGTAACGGTTTTGTGTCCGCTCGATAAATTTAGAATCAAAAATAAAAAAATAACGAAGTCACTGCTAATTTTTTTTAGCTAAGTGCGATTGATCACTATTAAAACATATTTTTTTAATGAAATCTTAAAATTAATTAAAATTTATTAAAAAGATAATTTTAGGGTCTACGTAACAATCTGAGTTCAGGAGTCGGTTACGCGTGGGGAAGGATTAGCACCCTCACAATGCCCGTTTAAGACGGTACCAATTAACTACATGTTATCCTTCGATTTTAATAAAACAGTCTTATTTCGATGTTTGAAAAATAATTTTCTTTGATTTCTTTTGTTTATTGGAAATTGATTTTTTAGAAATTTATTATGAAAATTTATTATTCAAATTTTATTTGAGAAAAATAAATTAGAACTTTTTTATTGAAATAATTCTCAAAATGTTTCATTACGTTGGTAACATTAAAAGAACTCCTTCTCACCTAGAGATTTCTTAGGCATCGTTTTTGGAATACCTTAGAATCTCATCCTAGGAGGCTCAAATTTATCTTTTCCACAAAAGATTTATGTCATGTATGCAATGCTAATAATAACATGTTGATGCACACATTTTATTTTTTTTTTAGAAATTTTATTAATTGTTTTATTAATTTTGAAGAAAATAAAAATTTATTGTATCGAAGTTTTTCTATAAATATTTCAATACATTGGTAATATTTAAGAAAAAAATCTTCTCACTTAGAGATTTCATAGGCATCACTACCCGGAATACCTTTGAATCCCATCATTGGATAAAAATTTTCTTTTCTTACATTTTTTATTACTTGTATTATTATTACAAAGTTTCATTATTTTTCATTTTATTATATTTTAAATTTTATTTTAAAATTAACAAAATTATAAAAATTTTAACTACATAAAAAATTATTCTAACAAATTTAAATATTTTAGTATGCATAAATATTATAAAAATAATATATAAAAAAAATTTTAAAATTTTTTTTTACCTGAACCGGATCGGTCAACACTGGTCTGAATCGATCTGATCAGTTCGATGGTTCAATCAGCGGTTTGGACGGTCCAACAGTTCAAACTGGTTCGACCTGTTCAATGACGGTTCATCTGGATCGGTTCAAGGCTGGCTGAAGCGGGTTCGCAGGTCGATTTGCATGGATCTCGAGTCGAATCCGGGTCTATGCGCGGATCTTCTTCAGCTAAAATGGCATCATTTTGGGTCTTTCTTTAAACGACGTCGTTTTGAGTCTCAGCCCTCTATATAAGATTGATTTTTTTTTAATTCATTCTGCCTTTTTTGCCAAAAAAAAAATTACAGAGCTTCTAGGAAAGCTCTGAGGCCCGATCGGCATTCGACCTCCAACGTCTGTGCCGTCGTGCCGGCTGTCGCCGGTGGTCGAAAAACATAAAACTTTTTCAAACGTTCACCTCATCGTGATCTTTTCAGATCTAGTGTCCGTTTTGCTAGAAACTGCCCCGATCGACGTAGATCGGGGCTCAAAGCTTTCGATCTTTTCTTCTCTTTTTTTTTTTTTGTAAAACCAAAATTGATGTTATTTTTTCTTGTTGCAGGTACCTTCTTTGGTGTTGGGTTCCTCCCTACGAGGAGGACTGTGTTGTTTTTTTTTTTGGTTTGGTTTTTCTATTTTGGTGTTGGGGGGTTGTTTGCGTTTTTAGCTTCTATGTATGAGAGGTTTTTTTTTTGAACGAAATGAGTTGGGTTTTTTATGTATGAATCTTTCTCTGGAAAGGGAAGAAGTTAAAGTCTTTATAGAACCGAACGTATATTCGAAAAGGTGGTCTAGGAGTCTGTAGATGTGGCTGTAGATGTCTGTAACGCGTGGTTGTAGGGGTGACGAAGGTCATAAGTGTGGCTAGTCTGATGGGACTGGTCTGGTGACTAAATGTGGCTGCTGGGGCCGGTGGCCCCACCATTTTCCAGCCCTTTTTTTTATCTTTCTTTTTTTTAATTATTATTTTGATTTTTAGTTTTTAATTAAACCAATATTATTATTAATATTAAACTGGAAATGAAGACAGTAATCCCAGATAAAATCGGTATCTACAGCTGTCTCTCTTTGCCTATTTCTGAGAATCAGGAATAAGGCAAAGATAAACACAACAATTTTGTCTGAAAGCAATTTCGTGGATTTCTCAAAAGTTTTTTTTTCTTTTTTTATTATTATTATTTTGCTTTGTTGTTTATTTATTTATTTTTATTATTTTTTTTGGAAAAGCTTCTCTTAGTAGAGGTTTAACAACTTTAAAATTCTCTTAAAAAAGCTCATTTCAGTAAAGGCTCAACAACTTTAAAATTTTCATATTGGAAACAGCTCTTCTCAACAGAGGCTTAATAATTTTAAAATTCTCTTGAAAAAATTCATCTCAACAGAGGCTCAACAACTTTAAAATTCTTTTGAAAAAGCTCATCTCAACAGAGGTTTAACAAAAATAGATTAAACCACCAAAAATAACTTTGAATATCACCATCGAAAGTAAATAATATCAGATATCACCACCGAGAAGATGT